GCTATAATTCTCATCATCCCAATTGCATCCCTGGTTCCTTTTCCTCTTCTAAATCCAAACTGATCTTCTCCAAGTATATCCTCTATTTTCCTTTCAATTCTTCTTTTAAGTGTCTTTGCTATTATCTTTGCTGTATGTGCAATAAGGCTTATTGTGCAATGGTCACTGCATTTTGCAGTTTTTGTCTTTTTCTTTAAGGCAATCATTGTAACTTCTGTAAAGTCCTTGGGCCACTCTCCACTTTCATATATGGTGTTCATTAGTATGACTATCATAATTTGTAATAAAAAGTTTTTTATTCTTTACAACAAATAATAGAATAGAAAAAATATATTGTGATTTCAGTGGCAATATTTCCAATTTTTTAAAAAGAGCCCTACATGAAGTCCTATTTCCATGACCTGTCATTATACGTACAACTCTTTTTTGCAGCTTAAGGAGTTTATCGCTGCTAGATGATAAACCCCAAAATAAATACCATAAGCTAAAACAGAATGAAATAAAAATAATAGATCATTGTTAATGAAATAGAGGACATATAGGGTTTAACTGCTCTAATAATATAACACACTCTGGTTAATCCCTTCATAAGCTTATCTGTGTGCAAATTCCAAGTCAATGTATCAACTATTATTAAACCTAGAAATTTAATGTTGCTTGTGAAAATGACCATCTAATTTTATCATACAAAGCAATGGAGGTATTGCTTCTTCTGTGACATTATATTTATGTGAAACTGGATTTTCTTCTGTTCGTGACTTGAAAATATGGTCATCTATCTATCTGTCCAACTCTGCCTATCACTCTAAGAATCTTTATATCTATCTATCAGTCAGTCAATCAAGCTTTTATCCACTACCATTCATTAAAAAAATACTATAGATGATCAACTTTACATAATTTACCTGCTTAGAGCATCACAGTGACCACTTTCAAAACTCAGTGGTTCCTGAGCATTGAACAGTGGTGGACTCATCTGTTGGGGCCAACTGCATTCAGATTGCTTGATGGCTTAGTAACCAGACAAGAGATGGAAAGAAACAGAGTGAAAAATGAATAACTCTGTGCAAAAGGATTTAATGAATAACATTGTTACTACCATTATGTTTATTGTAATCATTAATGCATTTTCAGTGTGTCTCCTTTAAACCACATAATTTAATCTGTCTCTACTTCCACACTATTATATGTTTATTTTGACTTGTATAAGATACCAGTGTTATATTGCTTAAATGTGTCATGTGCCCTTTTTATGTCCCATACAAAACGGCAGCCAGTTCACAAGATGTATTATAACAGTAATAGTAGTAGTCAAGGAAGTGTTGTTCAGAGTAGGAGGCATAATATTATCAGTTTTAAAAAGATATTATTTAATGGAAGCAATGACATTATGGAGAACATGAAGACATTTTTAAGGTGATGGTGACTTCATCAATGTAAGTGAGATTCTTGTCTTCAAGAAGTGTGTCCTTTCCACAGTAATTCCAGCTGAAAAGAAAATAATAATTAATAATCTCACCCAATATAAATATGTATTCTGGAATATGAAAACAAAATAAATTCAACTGCATATTTGATTGCAAGAATTAAATTGTTTACTAAAATTTAATTTATTCAGCAGATTTAATTTGATTTGAGACAGGAACTAGCAACGAACTTGAAACTTGAAACTTCTTCACTTCTTTTCCTTGTCCACCAAGCCTGGGAAGATTTATTTATATATATGACATGAAGCAGAAAAATTTTATATTATTCAGATTAGAGGAATCTTGTAGTAATAAATAAAAAATTACATTCATTTGAAAATTAAGAGCAGATTAAATATGGGTAATGTTTGGTACCATTCAATATAGACCTTTGTTTTTTTTTACTCTTGCCTAAAAACATAAGATTAATATGTATAAAACTATAAATTTGCTTCTAGTTTTGTACAGGTGCAAAACTTAGTCTCTCACGTTACTGGAAGAACATAGATCTTAATGATCAGTTCAGGCATTGAAGGTTGCTTTCAATACAGAAATTCTGCATATTAAAGAAAAGCTTACATAGAAAACAATATCCTCACTAAATTTTACAAATATTGTACCAAATATTTTTTACCTAGTGATCATGGAAGTTTATATATTTAAAATTAATCTCGACTTTTAATTCTGCTTCAACAGTACCACATACATTCCAAAAGTAAATTTTATTAAGCAGTTCTTTGGTAATGATATGTATTTTATTTTGTGCATAGAAGTTAATGGCCCATTTCGTAATACCTAATTTGGAGGCTCAGGAGATCTCTTCCTACCTTCATTACAGTTTTGTGTCTCCTAAGCCTACTGTGGGCCATTTTTAGCTTCTCTCTTCTGCTGCAACTGACCAATAAGCATAAGCTCCCAAACATAACCATCTGGATCATTGGAGTTGTAAAATCATCTCAGATTCAGAAGGTTCTAAACCATAATTCTAACATTACAAGTTATCAGAATCTGTATACTGTATATAACATGATAATTTTTGGAATTTTAGCTCTCTGAGATGAATTTCCCATTCAGCTTAATCATAATTCCTAATTGTTTATATACAGCATAATACCGTATTTACGCGTGTATAGGCCGCAGCACAATTTTCAGACAGAAATTATAGAAAAAATAATTTTCTTGGAATATTATTTCAGGAGTAGAAATTATTCCGAAATTTGGCAACGTTTAACATTCCTAAGTTCGCAACTAGCGAAAATAACGGTACTGCTCGGAACAAAGGCATTGCGGGGGAGAGTTATAACCTTTTCGCCTTTACTTGACTTGCCTGGTTAGTTCTGAGTGAAACATGGGTCGAGTAAGAGCAGGTTATACGTCTAAATTTAAACTTCAAGTGGTGCGTTACGCACAAGAACACGGAAATCGAGCAGCATGGAGAAAATTCGACGTTGACGAAAAAAATGTGCGAAGATGGATACTAACGAAAGATGCCCTTGAAAAAACGTCACAAAATCTACAATCTTTCCGCGGAAAGAAAGCTAAATTTCCAGAACTTGAAAATAAACTTTTGCGATACGTGCGTAATACACGTAATAATACTAATTATGAATATATTTTTTTAAAAATGAAGTGTGATTTCGAATATTTCGAATATAAGCCGCACCCCAGTTTTCCTCTTGAATTTCTGGCAAAAAATGTGCGGCCTATACATGCGTAAATACGGTACATACCACAATTTATGTTGAATGATGAATTTCAGGTGGGGCAGTAATTATAAAATTTCAGGAAAATTATTGATCAAGAGCAGGTTACAAAATTAACTTTACTTCATATCTAAACTTTAATTTTAATCATCATAAACATATTCTAAGATCATTAACAGTTTTTAAATTTGCTGTCTGCACACCTCTGTTACAGAGTGCTCAAAGAATATCCTAGACTAGTAAAAGTCATAAGAATTGTATGAAATGGTTTCTACACACATTAATTTGTCTTGTTAAATACATATCATCTCATACAATAGACATAATCCTGTATAACTGAACTGTAAGAAAAAGGAACTATGGTAACTATGAGGCCACGCCATAGCTCAAGCAGTTAATCACTGGCTTCCACCCGTGGCGGCCTGGGTTCGATCCTGGGTCTGGTCAAGTTGGATTTGTGGTGCACAAAGTGATGCTAGGGCGGGTTTTCTCCGAGTACTTCGGTTTCCCCTGCCAATCTTCATTCCACCAAATTCTCCATCATCATAATCACGCGGGGCAGGCTACAATAGGCCAATCAGCGGCTACTGTGCTGAGTGGACCCAGTTGGACTCTACCCCCCACTAAGCAAATAAAAAAAAAAGGTAACTGTAATTGTTCCAGGCCAGCATCTGTACCATTATACCAGACCTGAACAGGCACCATCTTTTATGTTAGTAATTGCTGAAAACAAGTATTAAGATAGAGTTTATACCTGTTTCCATAAGCATCTGCAATTGACACTTGGTCCAGATATATTTTTGGAGAGATAGGAGTTACATCATCTTGCTCTGTGTTTGGTGCTGTGGTAGTTATGGCTTGGAAGCTAAGAGACTGGTAGCCGAGTGTTGCCTGCACTGTTGGAGTGATGTCAGGTTTAAGTGTTCCATACTCTGCAGCTGCCAAACCCAACATCTTGCGACCCCCTCGTACCACATCCAAGAACCTGGTAACATTTGTGGTTTTGTATTGCTAACAAGTAATGTAGCACACTAGGAGAGACTTAAACTAGTTTTTATATGCAGTATTTGATGATACAAACAAACAAATAGAAAAACAAAGGCCAACAAACATTAGCAATTATAGAGTGCACAGTGACAAGGATCTCATATACAGGGCATCAAAGGAGGAAAGGTCAATATTCTGGGAGGTCATTGTATCAGTCATTCTGAGCAAAGAAATCATATATGTACGTGTCTTATTCCTAAAGGTTTATGAGCTAGAACTATTTCACTGTATAGTAGTTTGGATTTGGCACCAAATATAATTCTTCCCTTCTGCCAAACTGAAACATACCAATGCCCAGGACCAAAAAGTGGTTTGGGGTAGGAAAATATTTTAAACAATACACACACCAAATAAATATAATAATATAATAATATAATTGGTTGAGTGAAATAAAAATACAAACTGTCCCAGATGAGGACGGCACAACGTAAAAGCGTCCACCACTTCGTCGTTAATTTAGCAAACCAAAAAGTTCAAGAAATAATTTGGGGACGAGACAAGCACCAGACTCTTCCACGGCGTGCAGCAGAATCCCCTTGCAGTGTTCAGACGAGCCTCCTAGTCCCTGGTGAAAGGATGAAGGGCGCAAGCGTAGGGCAGGTGGAGAGGGGGGAAAGGAATGAAGGGGGGGGTCTAGTTGAGGGACATGGCGGTAGTTTCTGACGTTACAATACTGAGCCACTGTCTGAAACACGTGAATTGGTGTGAAGCGTCAGTTGGCCATTGTGACTGTTGATAGTGTTCTGGTAGGGGTGTTGAGAAAAATGCTGCACATCTTCACAACTGCTGAATATGCTGATATGTTGTACATTTATGGGTTCTGTGATGCTAGTGCCACTGCTGCTGTTGAAGAATACCATCAACAGTCTCCTATGTACAGAATTCCAGATCATAGAGTGTTTCTCAAAGTCTTCAATACATTGCATGAATGTGGTATGCTTCCCCAGTGCTCATGTTTCATTTGAACGAGCACATCAACAATACAGGGAGGAACAGGAAAACATTCTTGAAATGGTATAGTGCAGCCCTACTACTAGCACACAAATACTTTGCTACATGTCTTGGTGTTTCATGAACAGGTGTATTGCGAATATTGCATGATGACAACCTGTATCCATTTCACCCATAGTGTGTGCAAAATCTACACCCAGGAGACCGTGCCATGTGTCTAGTATTTTTCGTTGGTTACATACTAATTGGCAATTGCTTCCATTAATACTGTTCACTGATGACGCTACTTTCAGCTGTAAGAGACTCAACAACATATGTAGCTCGCATCGATGGTCTCGTGACAAACTACTTGGTATTATGGAAACATTCAATGTCGTTTCTCTATCAATGTGTGGTGTGGTATAATCAATAAAACGTTGATTGATCTCGTTATATTAGACGATCATATGACAGGACATAACTATATAGACTCTCTGCAAAATGGATTACCAGAACAACTAGAGGATGTTCTTTTGGTTACACAGATTGCTATTTACTTTCAGTATAATGATGCTCCTTCTCAATATACCAGACTTATGATGCAACACCTCAATGACACTTTCTCTAATCAGTGGATTGGTCATCTCAGTTTCATTAACTGGACACCAAGATCTCCAGATATACCCCCATTAGATTATTTTTTATACAGTTGATTGAAGAGTAAAGTGTACAGAAGAAAATTGGATACACGAGACAAACTGCTTGATCACATAATGAATGTTATTGCCCATGCTAGGGAACATCAAGATGCTCTCAGATGAGCAACAGACCATGTCCCTACATGAGCTGCAAATTGTATTGATGCTGATGGTGGAATTTTTAGAAATGTATTGTACAAGGTAAACTGTACCAACTTTGTCACTTGAACAAAACATTCTGGTATTAGAAACAGTATGTAATATTTCATTCTTATCAACAACTTTGGAACTGTATAGTGAAATAACTCTATTTTGGAAACCACCCAGAATAGGACACATGTACATATACACTTTCTTCCTCAGAATGACCAATACAATTACCTCCCAGGATACTGTCCTTTCTTCCTGGGACACTCTGTATTAGCATTATGAGAAGGGCAGAAGGAGTACAATGTACGATATTCCAATGAGTACATACATTGCTATGCAATAGGCAGATAAAAAGCACAGTTAAAATAATATAATGAATATTTCCCGATTAACTACACTAAATGATTTCAATAATTGCCTGTACTCGCAGTGTATCCTGAAATTTGTAGAAGTGTTTCCGTGAGTCAACACCATGTGAAGAATTCCTCGAGTATTTTGAGTCTTCTCTGAAACCATCACAGTAGCACGGAGTTGGTCACCTAGGAAACAAAATGAGTGAGAAGTTGAGTATTCATACGGACTCTATACCATGGTTACTGCGATTTATAATACATTTGTGAATAACAGTACATTTCGTTTTTAAAAGCATATGTGATAATGTCACATGACTGAGTGTGACTATAGATGGGATTGGATTGATAAATGGATTTATTGAACCCTTACAGATCGTAACTACAAGTAACTAGGGAACTATCACTAATTCACACACTCTGTAGTTCAATATAGCATGTACTAAATTTTTTCAGTCTGCTGTGTCTTCACCTTGCCTGGTGACAGATCCTCTCTTTTCATGCTCAAGTTCTTCCCGGCTGGTGACTGTCCCACAACTCACTCATTGCTCCAACTGACTAGCTCCCAGGCTGGTGGCCATCTCACACCAACCTCCTACTCTTGTCACTGCTGTCTCAAGACTCCTCTCACAGCCAAAGTCAAAGTCAAAGTTATGTTATGACCGACAGTCAGTCGGCCAGTCTGTCTTGGAATAAATGACCCATCTGGGGCTCAAGACCAGATTTTTATTACTGTCAGACAATTGCACATTTGTTGATAGGGGGCACTCTCTCTGATGAGAGGACAGGTCTATCCTTTGCCAGAGTCACAATCAGCAAGTAATAAGTCTGTTATCAGTATGTACAATTTACATTTTACATGTTATTAAATGTATGTATATGCAGCATATACAAGGCCTCTGACAGTCCAGGCTCAGCACAGCAGATCATGCCCAATCATTAGTAGCTCCTGCTGCAACAGCAGTCTAGTCACTTGAATGGTCATATGCTTGACTGCCGCAAAATTTAGGCCTTTTATATTTCCTGTGCCAGGGATGCCTTGTCCAATGTTGTGAACATTTGCATTTTCATGATTTTGTATGACTTCTGCTTGTTGCTTGCATAATTTTGTTATATTTTCATATATGTATGGAAGTTTGAAAGCCATGTGTAAATCGTGAACCAATGTGCACCTTGGAAAATTTCCAGTGGTGCAGAGAACTCTGTTTTGCAGGCACTGCATAACCTGCACAGAAAATACCGCCTCCAACAGTTTCTCCATCATTGTGCGCATTTCTCTTGCGGCCATTACCTACCAGTGGCTGTTTTATAGCTGCTTATTTCGCAGCCATTACCTAGTAATGAGTCTACATATCACATTGCTCCCTTCTGCAGGCCATTCTTCAGGAATAGTCTACATGTGTACCGCCATTTCTTCTTTTCCAAGGGCTGTGCTTGTGACATCTGTGATAGCCCTCGCCTTCCTTCCTCGTGGCTTGGTTCTTACAGTGTTTACTCTCCAACTGCTCCAACTGCCCCCTCCTTAAGGTCGCTCATCCCCAGCAGTTCTCTGGTAAGGTCTGAGTCAGTCCATTTGTGCCATCATGGTCTTCTTTTTGCAGTCGGTGAGGGGAAAAATTTCCAAGAGTGATTGATGCTCCTACATCTCTGGCCCTTAAGCTAATAGCAGTTGTTCTTTTGCTTGGGCGATGGCAGGCTCCTCCACAATGTCTTTACACTCATTTTCGATTCCTCAAGGAAGACTTGGCTGCTAACTTGACGGCCTCCATTCAAGTAATTTGTCCAAGGGCCTCATAAAATATCTCCTTCCTTCTCAGACACAGCTCCCATCTCAGGCCTCGATCCATTATGTGATTGTTGCATTTAGATCACGACCGACATCTGTTCTCAAACGTCCATCCTGTAGGGGTTCCATGTACAATATCATCCTTGGTGTGATTTTTCTGTCATCTCTTCTTGACCGTCTGTCCTTTATGACTGTGTCCCTTACACCATGCAGGAAGGGCACGGTGAGTTATCCATATGCGGATTGTGACTAACTTCTTCCAGGACCCACCATCTCCCCGGGTCCATGTTTTCAGCTGTCGGGGTACCCTACAGCTAGATGCCAGTCCCCATATTGGTCCTCCAGTGCTCCAGTATTTTCCACTACGACCTCTTTCTTAGGGACTTCCTGATGCTCTGCCACAAATTTCACCTCCACTGGAGTTAGCCTATTACTCTTCAGACAGGCCTCCATCACTTCTTGGCAGGCCATCATCTCTTTTCGCCAGGCGTTCATACTGTCTTCCACCCTTTGCTGATGGGCGTCCAACTTGGCTAAAGCTAGAATATAAAAGATTTAATTTGTCTGTGCTTACAGTGTACTCGTACTTATATATTTGCCAAATACAGAGTAAAACTTAATTTGGTTAGCATATTTTAGGACAGGCTGCTAAAATAATATTAAGTTTAATGCAATTTTGTTGGAATAAAATTTCAATCTATGCACATATTTTATCTACACTTCAATATGTTTTAAATTTATGTAACAACTCTGTAATGTATGAGAAAGTGGGACATCCCTTTAACATCTTCTCCCTTATGTCACACACAATATGTTATAAATATGTGCCATTATTGTATTCTCAGTATACCTGACTCAAAGAAAATGCCACTATCTGATCTGATTTTATGACAGTATCATCATTAAAATTTATTTGAAAGAGGTTCCTATACATAGGTCACTTAATTCAATATGTATTGTCATGTGTAGTGTAGTTCACATGATAAAAATAACAGGTTCCAGTTCAGATGATTATATTAATTAGCACTTCTGTTACAAGTTCTCTTAATCACACTCAATTATAATGCCAATGTTATTCTACACACTTTCAGTTCGCCATTGCACTTACACTATGATTCTCCATCTTCACTAGTCGTCTCCTGACAATGGATCTCAACACAGAAACTATCACTTCAAATCACTATGAAGTCTTCTTGTTATTTCGCCTTCAATCACTTTGTACTCCTCTGTCCTAATCTGCACTCAATTAATCTTCACAATTCACTAAGGACATGATCCAATCTCATCCTTGCACTTTCAACTGCTGAACCCTCCTGGACTATCCTTAGCTGCAAGCAGACTTGAGTATAAAGCCACGGCATGGACAATGCAGTAAACATAGTTCTGTTGTTGCATAGCACAGACCACACAGAAAACAAGTCACGTGATGGCTATCTTGACATTCCATTGGCATACTGACTCTTGCCTAGCAACAAGCTATAAACATCCATCCTATTGTTATGTGCACATATCGCAGAGTGTTTATTGAGCCATTGCCTGGCAATATATTGACATGTCACGATATATTATTAATTTTTAATACTGTTTTCTTAGAATTAAGATGTTTGAAACTGTGATACCTGCAGCACCTATAAATCTATAAAATTTGGGTTCTGGCAAACCTATAGAAAGGAAACTGTTATCATCAGTTACTTCTCTACATATTGTATTCATATACCACATACTAGTACACATTTCAACATTAATGCAAACAGTTCATGATTCGGAACTTATCTATTACAAATGAGGATGATATTTAATAATGGTACGAGCAGATCCAGGTAATCTTACCACAGAAAGGGCTGGAATCTCTTGTGACCAAATATAAAGCTCCTCTTCCTCTTGACTTATCTGCATTGATACCCATCATCCCACATGGCTCTGCAGAAGGCCCATTTTCTCTTGCACATTTCTGTAAGGTGGAATAGCAGTTCCCTTGCAGAAAGCTTGGTAGTCCACCATGACATGGGTATGCCATAAATTGACAACCTCCAGGTCGTTGGCTGAGACTCTCTACAAAGAATCTCCATGCCCGTACATGACTGCAAGCTATATCAATATCCAGAGATCCTTCTGCAACAATCCAAAAGCTTAACATTTGGTATTGATAATGAAAAGACTGAAAATTATCTTATTAAAAACACTATAAAACATATTTGGTGTCATGTAATTAAACTAACACTCCTGTAGCAGAATCTGAATGTTCATCACTGTCATTAGACATGATCTTGATCCAGTTCCATCAACTCCCATCCTCACGATCTCTTTTCCCAGGAACCATCTTAATCTTACCTTAATAACCTTCTCAGTATCTCAAGTAGAAGTTTACTGAGCTGTTTCTTCACAAATATTCTGTAATCATTTTCTGTATTCCCATTCTGGCTACATGTCTATCCACTGTAACCTTCAATAGATTTTGCTATATGTGGGACCTGTGTAAATCATGAAGTTCTTTCAACTATAATATCCTAAATTATAATTTTTTCATCCTTCTCAGGCCCATATATTTTCCAGAGCCATCTGTTTTCAAAATTTTATATTTTATGTTCCTTCCTTAAAGGAGGGGAACATGTTTCATACTCCCATTAAGTATGCAAATTAAAAGTGGTTTAATTTTCTGATTTTATCTCATATCTTGTGTGATATGAGCCTATATATCTAGTAGAATAGATCTGTAAGATGGCTCTTTCAGCCTAATTTATCTACTATCATGATGTCTATTTGGAGTGACTGGGATAAAACTGGATATCTAGACCATAGCTAAGTTAATCCTTATATTTTCTTAGTGACCACCGGTATGTACATAATTTTATCTCATCCAAGTTACTGTCCTTAGTTTTTGTTCCAGTTAAATGATCCACTTCTGCATGTCTCACCAAAATGGCTGACCACAACAGAAGCTCTTCCATCACTGCATCCTGGTTGTTCTCGCCCACCATTAGGAAAAAAGTCAACATGACCAAGTGGTTGAAGCAACCCAAATCCATCAGTCCAGAATGGGCTCCCATCAGTATGAATTACATCTACAAATTCTGCATCATTTTTGTCAAGTTTGCGTTCGGGTTCCACAACGAATTTGGATCTGAAAATGGGAGATGCTGGATCCAAACCTTTGAACAGAAAAAAAACGAAAGAATATGATGAATATGGAAAGACCACTGCACAATTAACTAATGTGAAAGCTTATAATTTTCTAACTTCTTTGAAACAGTTTGTTTGTTGGTAAGTTTTTCTATATAAATGTATACCTAGTGTTCCTCTTAGGTTCCTTTCATTCCAGGCCTAAACATGTAACTTTCACTTCCACACTGGTCTGCTATATTGATTTAATCAATAGTGATGTTTCTCCGTTTTTGTAATTTCTCTTGGGATAAGACATTGGAGTTTTCCATGGCGGTGGTTATTTAGATAATGGTTTTCCATGTGTGACGCCATACAGCCTTTTAGACAGATAGCAATGAAGATCCCCGAAGATGGAGGCAGAAAGATCCTCCAAGACTTTGGTATCCGTTTACAAGGCTACATGGTATCACAATCCAGAAACCCACAATGTAACTATAGAATACCAGGTGATGTACGAAGTCTGAAAACCCAGTAATTCTGAAGAACTAAACAATTAGGTATTTAACAGGCTGAAGGTTATATAATAACACATCTAAACTAAATTTATAATTTAGAAGTGAAATGTGTATGTGTAATGTGCTGTACATGTTTTTGTGTATCGGAAGCTGGAATAGCACAGTTGGTATAGTGACTGGCTACGGTCTGGGCAGCTGAAATTTTGGAGTTCAAGTCCTGGTATGGGCAAGATTTTTCTCCTCTCCATATCTCCCAAACCGTTTAGGGGACCATTCAGACTCTTATCCAATGGATACCGAAGGCTCTTCCCTGGGGATAAAGCAGTCAGAGCATAAAGCTGAACATTAAGATCCAACCAGTGCTGAGGTAAAGAATACACGGATTTAATTTTTCACTCCCTTATATGTCTTCATGGTGTAGTGCTTAAATAGTTATGCATAGGGACAACTTTACCTTTACCTTTATATGTACAATATACAAGTATTAACGTCATTGGCATCTTTGGCTTCCCAATCACCACTTTTCTCTTTCCATTAATTTTCCTATGGATCTATTCTCTGTCACTGTATCACAGATTCTTTCCCTGTATCTAACCATCAGACTTCTCTTATTCTTCATTTCTTGGTGTATACACAAAAGAACTTATGTTGGGCCATCTGTTATTTGCAATTCTTTGGACATGTCCACACCATATAAATTGTTTTCTTTTACATAATCCAGAATTTTGTTTTATAAGTACATATGTTCCATGATTACATAATTTTTATTGGCATATTTCCTCGATATTCTTGTTGATTGTCTCTAAATATCCATTTCTACTTCCAGTAATTCTTTTATTTTTTGTCCTTTAAATGCTTTATTTCCAAACAATATATTACAGTATTTGTATTAGTTGTGCAAATGGATTCTTTGTCCCATAATTGACTATTCATTGCTGAGATAGCACATTGTTCCAGATTTATTCTATTCTGAATTCCTAAATCATGTATTGTATCATCACTGATTTTTATCTCGAAAATATTTACAGAGTGCTTGATAAAAACCTTTCCTTCAAGTGACAGATGGTGTTTAGGTTTCCAAATTGATAGATCTTTTATGTAATATGAAGCAGTAAGAAAGAATGGAAACTATATGTGTGAAAATTCTTAGATCATAATTGGAAGTAGCTCTGAAAAAAGACTACAACATAAATAAACAGGAAGCAACCTATAAACTTCAAACATAATTGACAACATTAGAAATTATGAATCAAATTTGTGACAGCATGGAGAGAGAGTTTAGGAAGAGGGGAGTCTCAAATTTAAGAAGATATTCTAGAGATGGAAAGAAAATATAACAAGGAAGACAAAGGAGTAGATGGAAAGAGCAATTTAACTTCTGAATTTTGGAATGGGCTTCAGATCATACAAACTTTGAGGAACTTACCAGTAATCCTGCCAACTTTCACTTGCAAGCGGGTAAGTAAAATGTGGGATGCACAAGCTGCTATGTGGGCTCCAAGGCTGAAGCCAACAATATGGATATCAGAGGGTCTCACCCCTAAGGTCATCATATCAATAAGAAGCAAGCCTGTCTGTCTCCCCACCAGTTCTGTGTTCGCCACTGCCTGGGAGTAAGAAGGTCCAGAGGCACCTTTCTCCCAGTCTACTGCTATCACATTCACATCACCCTAGAAACAAAGGGAGCTTGTAGGTAACAGATTTGCTATTTCATTTATTTGTCTGTAACTTAAGGTACTATCCCAGAAATTGTCTGGAGGACAGGAGAACTGTGAAAACTTAGGTCATGACAGATAATGCCTTGGCTGATAATCAAACTTATTACCTCGTGAATATAAGTCAGAGAATTACTACAGCTTGAGCCTTCATCAGTTAAATCAAGTTGTGATTTTATTGACACTGATAGAAGCAGCACAGGGAGTAAAAAGAGTATATCCAATGGCATAAACACATTTTTCAAATGCATTCTTTACAACTATTAACTTTTTGGAAATTACCCATTGTCCTACTTTCATTTAAAACAACATTTTGGAACCTGAAATCTCCCTCTGTTGCAAGGCAAAAAGTCTACTCACTTGAGCCCAAATGAGCAGGCTTTCTAGCCGAGAATAGTGGCAGAGGCAGTAGAGGCCAAATGAATAGGCTTTTTATTTGAGGATAAAGGCAGAGACCAGTCTCTGAAACGTCGTTTTAAATAAAAATAGAATGATGGATGTCAAAGAAGTCAGTAATAGTATTAGTATATCATAGTCATAAAATTTTGATCATTTTTGCTTATTGGACTTTATGTTCATATACTGCATATAAATCTATTGCTAAACTAATCATACTCCTGAATGAAAACATGTTTTTTTCTTATATTTTGTCAGTATCAAAAAATATTTAAAACAAATTTTATAGATTATAATGAGATCTCACATATAAAGCTATAGAAATCCATCAATTGTAACTAATTTAGTTATTAAATAAGTAAAATCTTTTTGCCTTATATGTTTCAGCCACTAGTGGCGACCATCAGGAGGTAACCTAACATATTGTGACTGGTTGCTCAAAGAATTAAGATAAGGAACCAGAAAACCCTGTGTAACACAATCAACAATAGAACTTCGGTTACTTAGTAGCAAAGGTCTCAATAATCACGACAAGAGATGAACTACTGAAAACATCTCCTAGGCAACGGATATAGAAAGAGGCAGTTACATCGGAGACACAAAAAGAGAACACTTCAAGGAGGTGAGCTCCATATGGTTCGACTAGAACCTACCTCAGGGAGATAACTGACCAGAAGGGAACAAAATATGACAGAAGAGTACAGAAGGATAAAGAAGAGAATGTTACAGAGGCTAGTGCAAGATCAAGATAACAGTGAGAGATTTGTTATGCAGAAAGAATCAAATATGTAAACTGTTGTAATTAAGTGAAATTGTAATACAGATGCCTAATAAATCCAGCCAATGAAATCTATAACTCACAATATCAGTCACATTTACCTCCTACAAGGAACAATATAAAACAAGCTCTTGACATATGTTTTAATTGTCCATAAGCAGTGAAGGAACTTGTGGTAGTTGTGAATATTAAGACTAAAAAGTTAAAGCATCTTGAAGTACGTTAAAATGTAATGTATAGTTGATTGAAGGATGATGTAGTAATGGCCTCTGTAATGATTCATAGTGTTGGCTGTGCAGAATTTTATTGATTTATGTAACATAGGCTGTGTGTTCTTCTGTATACTTGTGTAGTGTGGATCCCGGTTGATAGATGTCCATCATTAGAAGCCCAAACGTTATCACATAATCCACAATAATGCAAACAACATTAATATACATTTTACATTTTGTATAGGTCTCTGTATGATTGGTTGTCTTTTAGGTAACTGATTAATTTTTATTTGAGCTTCATGTGAAATTGTCATTGTATCAGATGTGAGTGGACCCAAATTCAATTTTTTCAGCAACATTTGGTGTAAAAAAACAATGTGAATTATGTCAAGATCTGCCAAGTACATTTCAGAAAACGAAACACGTGGAGGTAGAAGACTCCCTATTCTACACCAATTTAATCCGGGGACATAAAAATGTGATTATGACTGTATGGAAGATTTATATCATGCATTAACATATGTATGTCAGTTTTCAGTGATCTCATTCGTTCATTCATTCATTCACTTCCTTTATTTTCTATATATCCATACAGGTAAAAAACCTGGGATGTGGAAATAGTCTCTTGGATAATAGATGTGTCCAGATAGATGTAATAAATTACATGAGTTACATAATTAAAATCGCATATATTAGTCAATTAATATAGATAATAAAATAAAAAATTAATACAATTTTAATTAATAAACATAATTTAAAAAGAACATTACTATAAAAAATTAAAATTAATACAATTTCATTTAAATTACCTAAATTAACTGAATTAAATGCATTACAAACTTACACACTTATGACCATTTATCTTTCCTTCCTTCTTTCCTTATTTCATTTTCTCATAAATCAAAATACATTGATACAGAACTCGTCAATGTTACTCACCATATTTAGGAATGCGTCCACACCGAAAAGAGCCCCTCTGTCTTTACCACTACCCCTAAACCCATGAATGATTATTTTGACAGGTCGCTGAGTGTCAAAATTTGAGTATAGTATGGACCGTTGTCCTTCTCCACTGGAAATAATCTGAACATCATCAGTATTTAATGTTGCCGCATGGTTTATGATGGTCCCATTTTGTCGAGTGAAAAGCATAAATGTTGTGCCAACAGTTTCTGGTGATTCAGGGAACTTCTTAAGTGGCGAAATCTTTCTTGGTACTGTGAAACATCCAACATCATCTGGAATGATAACATACAGTATGTGGTAAAGATACAGTGGTTCTCCGTGTAGTGCTTTCGGTTTATATATACGACATATCAAACCATGCAATCCAGGATAGCTCAATCTATATAGAGACAAAGCTATGGGCTGGGCAACCAACGAATCAGGGTTAGACTACAGACAGAGGCAAGATACTTTATGCAGCGTCCAGACCGACTCTGGGGCTGTCTTCTGTTCTGTAGGAATCGAGAACTGTTTCCATGGCAGTAAAGAGGTCAGAGCGTGAAGCTGACCAATCACCTTCTTCTAGTGCCGAGGTTAAGCACGAGTGAAGCTATACAGTCCTTCCCCCGTATGTCTTCATGGCATGGTGCTTAATTAAGGAAAGGGACAACTGTGCGTTTTACACAGCAACATGTTTAAAACAATTCTGATTATAATGATATTCATAAGTCATATTAAGAGGTAATTCTTGCTTTTTTATTGTTGGTGTTCAACGATTCTATCTAAGGGGCATGCAAAGCAAGGATCATATTGGACCAATACGAACTAAAACGAAATTCACTCTACAGCTTTTCATCAAAATCTGCTAAATAATTCCGGAAATCAAATACCCAACGAATGTACACCATCTCCACATTTCATATGTTCATTACATGTACTTCGTGAAAAACGAAGAATGATTATTCGTTCATTGCAATTTTTAAGGGAAATGTTTCAGAAGGCATAAAAGTCGGATGTAGGAAGGCTGTAGACAATTTCTGTTACTTGAATGGCTGGACTGAATACCAGCTATAGTTAGAATGACTGACGTGCGACAAAAGTGCACACTTCAAGGAAATCTACACAATGTTACAGGCCAATATTTTGTGTCATCGGATAAAAGCTGTACGTTCTTGTGAGATGGATCTACCCTTGAAAGCTTCGTAACAAACCACATGGAAACTGCCTCGCTATTTCAACTTATTCATGTTTCCACTTCACAAGACATTACGGGGGAAAATAATAGAATATCTGCATTATTAACGCGCACTGTATGAAGGTTACATTCAACATCACGCTCATGTCCCTTTACCCCGGTTTAAATAAACTTCAGTGATCACTGGTCTGGATGAATCTCATAGGCAGTCAGGACATCAGAGAGAAGATAAAAACTGCTAACCTTTGCAGGAGTCAAATGGAAGAATAAATATCTTGACAAATAGTTTGCATTTAAAATTATATTAAAACCAATAACACGATAAAATAATAAACATCTTCCACTAAAACAAACTACCCGAATACACTAGGAGTATGTGGGCTACAAGTTGTAGATCATTGGTGTAAAAAGTTGATATACTACTACAGGATATTATTCATGATGGCTATTCTACAGGAATGGTCTTTGACGCTTTCACTTTGGTAGAATTGAGCAACAGAAAAATATGCTTTAAAGAGCTTTCACTACTCTTGACCTAAGCAACATGTTGTAAGCTAACAGCCAAACGAAGCATAGGAATTATCGTCAATTCTAAACTGAAGGTCAAATCATTCGTATTATAAATTTTATGTTTTCTGTTAATTGACCTGCTTTCGAAAGTGTTGGTTACCAGAATATATTAAACTCTCTTTCTCAAATATATTTTGCTCTTATTTAAAACTAACTGCAATAAGTTCAATGAAATGGTCACACAGTGAGGCTATCAAGCGAGCAAGATATAAATTACCGCTCGGTTCGCCGTTTCGAATAGGACCCACGGGAGCGTGCTTCCATAAGTTATGTATCACTGCCTGCCATCCTATCCTTCAATATAGCACTCCCTTCCTCCAATCTGACAGTTTTACCATAACCGTTGCACCAACCACTTACGACTTGAATGGCCGCGCCATAGCTCAAGCGGTTAGTCGCTGACTTCCCACCGCGGCGGCCCGGGTTCGATCCAGGGGGCTGGTCAAGTGGGATTTGTGGTGGACAAAGTGGCGCTGGGCCAGGTTTTCTCCGAGTACTTCGGTTTCCCCTGTCAATCTTCATTCCACCAATTGCTCCACAGTCACCCTCACCTATCATCTGGGGCTGGTACAATAGGCCAGAAGTGGTCGCAGTACAAGGGACTTAGTCCCACCCCATTAGCAATAAAAAAAAATTACGACTTAGAATCACAGATAAATTGAAAGACTCCACTTCATCGGGACTCGAATCCGCGACCTTCCAGCTTGTAGCATAGTGCCTCAATCAACTAAGCTACCGCGCGCCGATTCCTACCTATATTAACTCTCCTAATCACTAACATCAAAATACGTGTTGTGACATGACGTCTGAAAGCCGGAATGGTCCATTGCTAGACAAGGGCTCGCCACAAAATTAGCACATTTCCCCCTGCAACTAATAGACGCAGTAACAGAGGGACTGTTGGAGATGGTGAGCTATCTTCGGTTCGCCTCGAAGTTACAAAAGGAGAATTCGCTCGTAAGAGGGCGCCCCGCATCAATAAACCCGCAACTGACAGAAATAAGAATTTGGTCCTAAGCTCCCAGTGGATGCTTGACACCAAGACAGACTGGCCGACTGCTCGTCGGTCGTAACATAAAAAAATTTAAATCATTCGGCATTCGTAAGACAGTCGTCGTTCAAGTTAGTCATTAAGAGAACTGAGAAGGCAGTTCAATAGTTCAGTGTCCGGCTGCGGGGTGTTAACCAACGGACAAGGGCAGCTGAGAAAGTGACCGATTCCTAAATCCGAGCCAAGTCAGTCACAGTGGAAGAGAAGACACTCGTAGTCCAGTAAGGAATGCAGCGAGTCTTAGACAGACATTGATTGTGTGCTGGTATAATTGGTTGTAATTGTAATAGAAGTGTCAATAAATCCACAACCCGTTATTATCCGTCACGGAACCCCGGACATTTCACAATACTTTTCTGGGCCCTGTCATGTGGCAATTGAGTTCACAAACTTACAATTTAGTTAATAACCATTGTAATATATTTATTCAAATCTTCTTGGTCCTGCAAGGTCACCTTCACCACCAAAATTCTGCAAACATCTCTTGTTTTTACGGCCACCCTAACCTACCAGAAATTGTGGTTGTGACTGTGGTAGCAATACAAGCAGTAAGCTGCAGAACTATACGTCACAAGATTCCTGCTCCATTCTCGTCTCATTTCGTCTCTCTTTACTCCAGCTTCAGAATTTTGTTCCCAGGATTTAGTAGGCCTAATTTCTGTTCTTCCGTCAATTCAAGAATTACACTACGTCATTAATACAGCACAGTGCAAGTAACATTGTAACATCAGCAGAGCTACGAACATGAAGTTACAGGTCTATTATCTACACCGTGGCTAAACTTACTGGCCATTCTAATTGAAACTTACTGTTTGAGCGTTGCTTCTAGCGGTTGNGAGTGACATGATTTTGAAGTTCCAAGTAAATACGCCAGTTGATTAAAATTTATTGACTGGTGATATGCAGCAAATTATTCCCCCCCCCCCGGCACTACAGCCCCAGTGGGCCTAGGCCTACCTCCATGAACCTCTCCGTTCACTTCGGTGTTTCTAGATCTTAGACTTTCGGGTAGGATTCCTTGGGCGGGTGATCAGCTCGTCGCAAGGCCTCTACCTGTACACAAACACAGGAAAATGCACACAAACATCCATGCACTGAGTGGGATACGAACCCACGATCCCGGCTTCCGAGTGAGCGAAGACAGTGCACGCCTTAGACCGCTCGGCTACCGTGACCGGCTCTTTCTTCATTTACCGTGTCGAAATATAGGAAGACGCGTTTGTTAGTACAAAACAAGGCCATTAAAGAAAAGTGCAACAGTTATGTAAATAACCCGCAAACTTAATATGACTGTCAGGATATATTTTCTATCGATGTATAACTTAATTTTTTTTTAATTCGCACAGTGGTGGTTGGAGTCCAGTTGGGTCCACTCGGCACGGCGGCCACTGAGTGGCCTATTGTACCTGCCCCGGTTGATTATGATGATGGAGAATCTGGTGCAATGAACATTGACAGGGGAAACCGAAGTACACGGAGAAAAGCTACCCCAGCGCCACTTTATCCACCACAAATCCCACTTGACCAGACCCGGGTTTGAACCCGGGCCGCCGCGGTGGGAAGCCAGCGACTAACCGCCTGAGCTATGGCGCGGCCTTCTATCAATATTTAATTCGAAAATAAAAAATTTGTGCAAAGGGATACACAATTAAGTCAACAGTTTAGTCGAGTATAGGTCTACAAATAAACTATTTGCTCTATATTAATGGATCTGTATGGCGTATTTAATAAAAATTGTTGCTAAAATTGATCGAAAGTGTTCAATTCTGGTGAAAGTTGGCGAACACAGATGGAAAGACATTAAAATGGAATTTAAACAAAGAGGGTGGGGTGGTGTGGACTGGCTCCATTTAGCTGGAGAGGAGAGGAGAGGAGAGGGGGGTTCCAAATAGGGCCAGCTAATTCATGGCTAAGTGTGTGACTATTACCTTCTCAAGAACATATCTGAGGGATGGAATTAATTAGTTAATATTTACCAATTATTAATTCGCATTATTCCATCTATAGAATTAAAAGTGTAGGCCTATGCCTTAAGATTGTTCGTGATCACGTGTTTCACTTTAATGAAGCTAACAAGTTTTGTGTATGTATTTGTTTTCCTTTTTTTTGCTAATCGAAAGCATAATAGAAATATGATTAATGAAACGGACACTTTGATATTCCCATATTCTTGAACTGAACGTCGCGTAAAAACAAAGGCTGATCACTACTTCAAGCATTGATTAACACCTTTGAAGAGTTTAAAAAAGCCTCGCAAAAGTATGGGCTGTTAGTCAACGAACAAAAAACGAAATTCCTACACTCTTCTAACAAACCTCAAATAATTCAAGATCTCCGGTGCAGTGACGTAAACATAGAACAAGTCTCTCATTATAAATATTTAGGGTCTATAGTTAATTCAGATAACACAATTGAACAAGAGATTAAAGAGAGGTTAGCAACTGGAAATAAAGCATATGCTGCACATTTGACACTGTTCAAAAGTAAACTTATTTCTAAAACAGCTAAATTAAGATTATACCAGATGGTAATTCGACCAACAGTAACCTACGCCTGTGAAACCTGGACACTTAAAGAAGCCATTAAACGTAGATTTTTGTCGATCTTTGAGCCATCATGAAACTACGATGGCTCCTGGAGAATCAAAACAAATGACCAACTAGGAAATCTAATAAAAGGAAGGAGCACAGTTAACTTCATCAAAGTCCAAAGAATAAGTTGGCTTGGACACATCTCAAGGATGGAGGCTGGACGAACAGTTAAAAGAATATATGATTGGCAGCCACAGGCTGTAAGAAAGAGAGGCCGACCTAAGATCAGATGGAAAGATGACGTAAGGGAAGATCTAAAGGACTTAGGAATTTGTAACTGGATAACTCGCACATGGGGCAGAAGCAGTTGGAAGGAAATTGTTGAGCAGGCCAAAGTGTTCAAGAAATGAAGCTATTGAGCCTTATGAAGAAGAAGATCACCGCCTCTCTGTATCGTTTACTAAGAGTAGAACATGATAGACGTAGAAGAAGAAGAAGATGATGATTCTTTGTTATTAAAAGAATACATTTAATACAAGCTTCTGTACACATGCTTTTTTTCAACAGAACTGTTCAAAATGCACTGAAGATTTCAGAAAGCAGTGTTTTAAAAATAAATTTAATCATTAGTTACGAACCATAACAAACTTCTTTTCTCGCCTTCCGTGCCTGTTCCCGTTCTTGTCTTCTAGCGTTGATCCTTTCAATTCTCGCTCGAATCCCACCACCCCTCCCCCTTGAAGGCGTCAACACGGCTCCATCTGAACACAATATAACAGTAAGATAATCAACTCTATCCATTCACTTTCACTTGCAATTCGCGCAAGCAATAATACAGAATTTAAAATAAATGCAGTACCTCCTGGTTCAGCGAGAACAGCATCGTCTTCGGTTTTGAAAGATTTCAAAGCTGTTAAAGTAACAATTATAACGAACCATGAAACTCCAATACGCATACTATTCGCCATAACTCACACTATAATTGAAATACTCTTCGACTCACTTTGTTGAATAGACAAGCAAGCCACAGATTTTTGCAAAAGAACTGCGTTGTTTTCACTTTCTTCCGCGTTTAACTGCTCTCCAAGATAGGCATGGCACATGTTGTCATCTTCAGGCACTTCCCCGTACTTAAAAGTTCCGTGTTGTGTCGTATCAACTGCGCCCGGTTGCTAGAAAGTAGTGTCGTACAGACCGGATAAAGCTTTCTATTGGATCCAGTCCCGCATGTGTCGTTGCAGTGCCCACCAACGTAACTGCTTTTGTCTCACTGAAGAACTAAGATAGCTAGTTAACATGTGAGGCTGGAGAAGAAGCTCCTCGATAGCGAACTCTCTCATGTGAGGATCCCGATGTCAGTGGAAAAAAAAATTACCAAAACTCATTTCGGAAATTCCAGGATGGACCTAAATCTAGTTTTTACACCTCATTTCCCTGATATTTGTACAGCGTGATCGAAAATCGCGCAGCTCAAAGTTGATAGTTCCACTTGTTTCAAAATATTACAATTAAGGCATCGAAGTAATATTATTTATATAAAAATTACAGTGGCAGCCGGGATAGCTCAGTCGGTACAGCGACTGTCTACGGGATGAACGACCGAGGGGTCGGAGTTCGAGTCCTGATAGGATCAAGAATTTTCTCTTCTCCATGTCGTCCAGACTGGTTCTGGAGCCGTCCTATCCGGGGGTACAGCTAACTACTCACCTCCAGCTAGTGCCCAGGTCAAGAAAACGTGGATCTATACATCCACCCCCCATACGCCTTCCTGGCGTAATGTTTAATTAGTTAAGCACAAGAACAGCTTTACCTTTATAAAAATTACAGTAACGATTAGAGAAAGGTGTCAAATGATTTAAATATTATTGGAGAACACACACAGGAACAATATTGTGTTAATAAATCTATCTTCCCTTGTGAAATAAAAAATCTGAAACCGGCAGTTCTCAGACCTACACAAGGTTCATCTGAAACTAACACACACGTCCAGTGAAACATCAGAGATGAACCAGGCAGGTGCACGTAAAGCCACATTTTACAATTTCCTTCCGTTCTTTTGTCGTTAAATGAAAATTACGTGTTTTCTGCAGAACTTTTGTTCGTATCGTGACTATTCATTGGCAGCAATCTATAAATGTTATGCAGCCATGTAAATAAACCTGTCTTAAGATTTACGACACTCATGATAGTTTTGTCAGAGTATGTGGAAATTTCGCGCTATTGACTGTTACGTAAGTCTATCCGTTTTTACTTAGCTAGATGGAAGGGGTTGGAGCATTCCCCACCTCCGGGAGCAGCATTCATGTCTGTGTGACTCGTGAATCTTATACTCTTCTACTCCTGTTTCTACATTGCTTGAAAGCAACGACATGAAGGCGTACTTGTATATAGGTCATGGAGTCCGTGGGTTCGTAGCTGTAGGGACTTCAGGAGAATTTGTGCGTAGTGGCGAAGTGAACAAGTAAAGAGCCAAATACACTAACGGAAGTAGCATTAAACAAATGTGTTTTCTTTTAAATATGTCCTGATACTTAACAAGTATTAATATATAGGCGATTTCGTGTTGCTTCAACGCTTATCCTTATCCTGTTTAATGGCGATGACCACGCATTGTCGAAGTTCCGGTTCCGGACATTGTCTCCATTTCCACCTGGGGTGCATTGTTCGCGTATGTTTTCTGCTGTTCCTAGCATCTCATTTAGTCTCGCTAGGCAGAAAGAGTCTGCTGGCGTGATTTAATGTATATAAAGCTCTTTGCTGAACCAAGCATCACTAATTACAACATGGATGCAGATCGTTTATGGGTATTTTTATTATACCATCCCGATTTTAAATATAGTTCATTTCGGTGAGTGCCATGGTCGATTGAGTAGTAACTGTGCTTTTTTATTCAAGGGTATTTTCTTTCGTATTTTTCTGAGTCCCTCATGGGAAATGCTGGAGCTGTAGCCTCAAATTAGGTCAAGGCCACTTCGTTGCATATTCTTTTCAAATTCATTATTTACTAATCATCCTGACATTTACTGTTATGAATTCAGAACTATTGAGAGCATTAGTAAAGACAGCACAAATAAGTACTAATATATATGGAATACAAAATGTGTCATTAAAAAATAACATTTCTTTAGAAATTTAAAGTTATCAAGAAATAACAAACGTCACAAGATAAGTTTCCGCATCACACAGTTGCTACACATGGATAAGGAATACTTAATTGTATCTGCGTAAGTACAACTGTCATATGTTTTTTGTTTTTTTTAATGCTAGTGGGGTGGGACTAAGTCCCTTGTACTGCGGCCACTTCTGGCCTATTGTACCAGCCCCACATGATAGGCGAGGGTGATTGTGGAGCAATTGGTGGAATGGAGATTGGCAGGGGAAACCGAAGTACTCGGAGAAAACCTGCCCCAGCGCCACTTTGTCCACCACAAATCCCACTTGACCAGACCCGGGATCGAACCCGGGCCGCCGCGGTGGGAAGCCAGCGACTAACCTCTTGAGCTATGGCGCGGCCATAAAATAAATTCAGAAAATAAATATTTGTACCACTAGCAAGTTTTCTGGATTCATGTTTATTTTGCAATTGTAGAATTTTAGAATAAATACCGGTATTTGTATGTTGTCCTAAATAGTGAACTGGTGGTAGACTGATGTAAGATGTACGAGTATATTCCATAGCAAAACGGGAGATTTAAATTACAAGTAGTCAGTCACATAATATGACATGCTGCAATAGTCACTTTTTCATACTCTCCTTTACCCAAGAAAGATAGGAGTACACTTCATTATCTGAAAGTATAACCAGTTAAAGCACATTCTTCAATCTTTCTTCCTTTATAACGTAGTTCCCTACATAAACTGTTAGTCAGCCAATTGAGATAGTTATTTTAAGTTATGCACCATATACATGTGTTATTAAGGGGCTCATAAAACCCGGTGGAGGTCGTGGAATTTTTAAGGGCGGAAAAATTCAGGGAACAAGTCCTCCGGGAGGGACTTTAAACCGTGGGTCCCGTGTCGTAGATTTACGGCACGTAAAAGATCCTCATGTCTCTAGGAGACCTCTGAGTAAAATTAGGCAAAATATTTCCCGCCCAAGTAGTTTCCAGTGCCTCCGGTAGCTGGGGAACTTATCAGGTACCAATGCCAGTAGAGGGCCGACCTTGCTGGCAGAAAGGGGAGAATTATCGGGTACCACTGCCAGTAGAGGGCCGACCTCGCTGGCAGAAAGGGAAGATAGCGGGCACCAGTATCGGTAGGGTATGGCGACAGTAGAAATTAAAGGGGGACGTACAATAGACTATTAGTCCCAGTGCATGGGGAAACCCACCTCCTCTATACTGAATAACTGAACTGAAGGGGCTCATACAGCATTTACACCTAAGGGCAGTGCACATATTTTCCAATCTGTGCAATTTTACAGTACTCTTCTGTCCGATGTTGTACAAGCGTTCAAAAAAATCTCTCAACATTTCTCAGTCTTTGTCATGGATTTGGACTCCTTCCATTCCCTTTGTTTTATGAAATTGTAATTTATCAACTGCATTGATTAAGTAGATTCAAACCCAGGACCTCTTGCATCTGAAGCTTTCCTCCATCCAACTAAATCATTTTAATGAAATATAAAACTGATGGTCTATAGCCACTTGTTCTGTATGATACTTATCATCTTGCTGACCCTGAAAAGAAGATAAACTTTGAACCAACATTCTGTGTGTGTGTCTCAATATCTTAGAGAGTATGAGTGGAATATGTATCAATTGGCGGTTTATAATGTGCAAGGCACCATAATGAAAATGCAGAAATCATTGTCTTAATTTCAGTTTGTGTCAACTGAGTGAACAACATACGTATTTGATCAGGGACATGAAACTTTCACAATTCTGACTACACTTCTGTGAGTAAGAACGGCTAATGAGGACACCATATTTATATGAAAATCCTCAAATCTGAATAAACTGGAAGAAACTGAGGTGGGGAAGCTTTATAAGAAATGTGTAATTACATCTTTAAAACCTGATGTAGGAAAGTATCTACAGTGAATTAATGACTGTTCAGTATGATATCTTGAAACTGATGATAAAGCTGGATTGCAGAAGAAATGTATCATACACAGATTTGAGGGATGTAAAAATTTTTGTATCACTGATTAATCTGAGAGGTGTTATTTATTCACTGTATGTGGTTGATATGCTAACCATACTGCTCATTAGCGCCATGCCGTTCTAATGAAAACAGCAGCACCGGCAGCATTAACAATGACAATGACAACAGAAAGAACGTGTGTTTTGTCACATACAATACAGTATTCACAAACAGGCTTATAGCAGAACACCATGACAACAATGACAATGACAACAGAAAGAACGTGTGTTTTGTCACATACAATACAGTATTCACAAACAGGCTTATAGCAGAACACCAGTATTGTATTTCCAAGTAACATAGGTATATTGAGTGACCCTCTAAAATGACAATACACAAAATCTGAAACTGGCAAGTAAATACATTTCTTTATTTTACATGAACTGTAATATTCTCATTACCGACAGTGATTCTGTAAAACCATACATTACTCATAAAATTGAAAATGACACTGTTCTTCATGATACTGAGGAATTTAACGAGGAAAGCCAGTAAAGAAACACTTTAGTAAACAATACTATTATTTATGTTTTGGGATACTTTAACCTTAGAGTTCCAATGGCATTCCTTGCTATTCGAATGTAAAATCCTATTCTAAATAATGTACTTTGGTACAATAGACCAGAAGTGGCCACAGTACAAGGGATTTAGCCCCACCCCACTAGCATTAAAAAAAATAATGTACTTCCTCTATCTCTTCCTCAGAGTATTTATCTCAGTTTTTTAGATATTTCAGTCTCAGGAATTGTGTCCTACAATTCTTCAGACAGAACTGAGTTATCTACAGAACCCTTAATTGATTGGAAATGGAAATAATTATAGTGATTGGTGGTATTTGGTATCACATGAAAACGTCTATGTCCTATGTGAGATTTGAACCTGTGATCCTACTAGCTATGGCCATACCACCATACTTAACAGTTATGCTTGCTAACAGCAGCAACCACTCCCTTCCAAGAAAATAATTCTTTGTTTTTAACTAAATAAGGGATATCTTGTACAGAACTATTAGGCTTATTTTGGACTCTCTCCATCGTCTGGTATGTATAAGACAAAAAACCATGTTTCGAAGACTGGATCTGTCTTTATCCTCAGGTGGATGGGGCAGGACAGACCTAGTCAGTGGCCCATAAGAAAGAGCTAGTCTCAATCTTCTTTAGTACACATCTTCACTATTACACTTGGGACTATTGAGTTTATGGACCTTGTCCATTGTCTAATTTTCTGAAAGAATATAACCTTTTGGAAATTGGATGCTTTTCTGTTCTCAAATGAAAGGACAGGGAGATATGTGCTGAGTTTGTTCTGATAGAAATAGCTATCTCAACCACTGGATCAATGAGATTAACTCTTTCTAACAGAAACAACTGATAGTGTTTTTCACAGCCTTCCATCTGAAGATAAAAACAGATCCAGTTTATGAAACGTTGTGTTCTTTCAGAGTACTATACATTGGACTAAGTAATCCCAAAGTTCTCTCCTTCATACAACTTCATTTCACAACCAGATTCTAGCGAACTTTTTCTAGATTTTGCCCTTACATTATTCAAAGAATGGTTAGAATTATGTCTGAAAAAGTGTTATCAAATTTTCTAATATTTATTTAAAAAAATAAATTGACAGGAAACTGAAATGTCTGACCACTCACCACTCTTAAATGCTGAGGTTAAGTACATATGGAGCTTTACCTCCATCTCCCTTATATGCATTCTTGTCTTGGTGTTTAAGCACAGGAACAGTCCTAATTATTTGCCCCGAAGTAAAGGCAAAGAGAAAATTTCAGTATCTAATTGTTCTAGCATAGATCTGAAGTCACAGACATTAACATATGCTATTCTTGAACTCAACATAAGAAACAACTTTATTCTTACATATAGGACATAAACATCTTCATGCAGCTTAGTTGTGAATGTGATACACTGAAGTATTATACCCGATTTGTTACTTTCAATTTGTAACTAAGAATCATGCACAGAATTACAGCTGCTAGTATACATGGGAACAAGAAGCTAATAGAGCTATTCAAGAAGAGACTGCCTAAATATACAAAATATTGTACTCTTACAACAAATCCCAACCCCTTGCCAAATGATATATTGAACACTACAGTTAATGAATTTAATAATGACGGACTCCAACGCTTAGCCAAGTTGTTTCCAAGATGTGAAGAATTTCCAGCTCGGCACATTGGACCCAGGGAACATGAACAGACACAGATGCTGGAACTTCTTGGATTTAGAGTAAGTTAAAGTGGTTTTCATTGTGATGGATATTCTGAAGAACACAATCTATAACATTAGTGAATTCCTGGCAATAGAAACAAAATGGTTTATGCTTTCCCAGTTTTCTCTTCAATTTACTTAATTTTGAGCACCCTGTGTCTAATATTGGAAATTAAACAATTTATTTGCTGTGTGGCTTTGGCTTCTGGATAAGGTCACACTAAATGCTGAGTTACAACATTTAAGAAAATCCTAAACATTTGAAGCTGCCTAGTCCTCGAAGCTGAAGCCACAAATTAAGCTCCAGTTGTAAAAATGTAAGGACCAGAATTTATTTACTATTTATTGACCATGTTCGAAAAAACGAACACTTGTGCCATGGGCACTTAGGGCTTAGAGGATTCAAAATCTAAACTAATGGATGTCCAAAGAAGTGAAGTCAGGTTTGAACTCATGAAACATATAAGGGATTTTTTATTTTCTGCACATGTTTCTTTATATTTGCTCAGTTTCAGCCCTTAATTCTATCTGGAAGTTCCTTTGAGAATTATCATATAATACAAGTTTTCATCCAATGCTACATAACATGCAATTTTTAAGTATGACACAACCAAATAAATAAGTATAGAATTAAATAACTAAATATAATTAAAACTGTTACTTAAATGACACAATCAGCATAATAGGGCACTAAAAGTCTATAATTTTGATTGATTTTCTTTTGGCATACTCTCATTCTTTAAGGGCAAAAGAAGGCTTATGTTATTAGCATGCTGTGTATTTGTTTTCTTCCAACTTCTGATCTAGCTGAAAATTTTCATGAAATCCTGTAAAGATGTAATGCCACTAGAGGTGGCACTTCACATTTTAATTTTCTACAGTCAATAACAACAGCATGATGGATGCATGAACTTGTGAGGTTGGAGTAACACCAACACCATTTAACACAGTGTCTTGAAATGATGTTTGGTAATACAGCTATCACTAATATACAACTTTTGTTAAGACAGTCTTGTTGCAGTATGTACAACCATCAGAGGTTGGAATTTGAAATTTGAATTCCATACAAATATGTAGGAAACATTGCTTACAAGTTAACTATTATAAACATGGGACACTGAGATATTTTAATGTTATATATAACAGATTCAATGAATACAGAATTTGTACTTAATCAGTTCTTCCCCAAAATAAAATAACAATAATCTCTATCACACGTATTTACAACTGTAAAGAACAAGAAATATTTCTGACTCAAGTTGTCCCTGTGCTTAACCAATTAAAAACTATTCCATGGGGGCATATGGGAGAGTGAATATATAGAGCCACATTTTCTTGAACTCGGCACTAGTTGGAGATGAGTAGTCAGCTTCACGCCCTGGCATCTTTACTCCCAGGGAAACAACATGCAGTACCCACTGGATAGGAGGCTGCATGGGCCCCAGAACTGGTCTGGACAAGGTGAAGACAAAATTCTTTACCCTACTGGGACTTGAACTCCAAACCCCTCTGTCATGCAGCCTGTAGCCCGTCACTATAACTATACTATCCCAGCACATGTTAGTGTAGTTGGTTGAGGCACTATACTATAGGCCGGAAGGTCACAGTTTCGATTCTCAACGAGGTCATTGCAGTCTTCAATTGACCTAATACTTCAAGCCACACTATGGCCCTGGGGTCGACCCAGCCTCTAACAGAAATGAGTACCAGGAAACTTCCTGGGGTAAAGGGTGGCCAGCACATGAGGTTTACAACCTCACCACCATATGTGAGCCGACTGTCTAAAAAATGTGGGAGACTTAACTTCTCACAACCTTATGGGCCTCAATAGCCTGCACAAAGACAGTTACTGACTAAAGTATAATTTGAAATCATGGCCATGATGTACATTGGAACAATAAGCTAATCCCTCAACTCCTTCTATTGGATTAAAAACTTTCAATACCTAATTACAGTATTAAAACACAAGTTATGCCTTTAAGAAAATTTAGTCTGACCTAAGCAGAAACTGGAGTGGAATATTTACACTCACATTAATACAGAATACTTGGCTGCATTGTGAGTCCATTTGTTTTGTTTATAGACTCTTGATGAAATGACAGACAAGGCTGTTCCTGCTAAAATTCGACTTAACAAAGATTTGGAAATTGAAGAACCAGTGGGTATGTTATACTTGTAGCAAACAATTTGTGACACTTTTTAACTCCTCTGTGAATGACAGTTGAAACACAATTATGTGATAAGAATTATAACCTTCTGATAACCACAATTTATGATAGCACAATCCCATGCACATATATTTTTTCTAAAACAGATGTAAAAAATTCATTATTAAAAGAAATTAATGAGATGGAGACAGGATTGTTTGGGTGTTTCAGGTTCACTCCATTACAATCCAGAAGGCCTACACTATGATTAAAACGCTGGTAAACATACTTGTCATGAAAAGAGAACCAAGTTAATTGACTTAAACAAACCATACTGAACCAAACTTGGCATAAAACTAAAAATAGCCTAGGAATGTACTATAATCAACCAGTTCAACAAAAATGTCTTTTCCCATTAATTGTTCACAAGTAACTGCCTTTGGAACCTTCTGAAAAGTATTTATACTCTGATGTATTAACAAAGTTTCCTCAGAAACTTCAGTCTTTAAACTGGTAGATGTTGCCTGTCTTCAATGGTAATTTATGTGTACAACATCAAATATTAATTTTCTGATCACAGGAGAATACGAGTTGATAAATCGCATCAGAGAGATAGCTGAGAAAAACAAAATCTGGAGAAGCTACATTGGAATGGGTTACAATAATTGCTGTGTGCCACACACGATCATGAGAAATATATTTGAGAATCCTGGATGGTAGGTTGCCATACAGTGTATATTCAGGTTAATGGAAACAAATGTGGAGATATCAATTTATGAACTGAATGATAATGCATATTTCCAGGGTCTAATCTGCTCATAATTTCATCATGAACCAAGATTTTCTGTGGTCCCTGGACAGAATGAACATTCAATGGTCAGGTCTTGTCAGTGTATCTACTCAATATATTGATTTTAATTAAATTCTATATCAGAAGTCTATGCTAGAAGTTAGCAAACTAATTTTGATTCATATCAATCCAGTATAACTCGTTTCACTCATTACTCATGGAGCTGAGCCCTTCTTGAGAAGTTGCCAATTGCGTAGCTCTTGTGAACACGGTAATGAACCTTCGGGTTCCATAAATCTTGGGAAGTATAATTCATTTATTACATGACTCTCAAATTAATGTTTCCTATTTACTCAAATATTGCTCAATGTACAAAAACTTGGTACATGACATTATGGTATAGATCTACAAGTTTTATTTTAAATATTTTCCAGTGTGGTGAATATTTAACAAAATACAAGGTAAAGTAACAACAGACTTTGCATCGATATCTCTAGGAAGATCAGCTTTGCAATACCTGAATACATCATACATGAATACATCACTGTCCTCATCTTTTTCGGTATATTGAGGCATGTACACTCATTGCTAGGCAACGACAACTAAATAAGCAGCTATACAACAGCTGTTGCTACGTAATGGCTCTGCAAACAACGACCATTGTTAAGTAATGGTGCAAAAGATTCATAACACTTAACAATGGAGTAACCCAGAAACAGTGTTCTCTACACAGTCCGTGCAATAGCAACATGATGCTACTGTAAAAGAAATGTTGGGAGGGGTGTTATAAGCAGGACAAGTCTACAGTTTAGTGAGTTGTGAGTCAGTAACAACGTGGACACGGAAGCTACAACGTTGGAAGCTGTTACCAGGCAACAACCAGTGAAGATACAGCAGAGTGAGAAGACTTGGTGCATGCTGTAGTGAATTGTAGTGTGTGAATTGGCTATAGCAATATAGTTATGATCTGTAGGTGTTAAATAAATCCAATTACCAATCCAAACCCTGTCTATATAATATTTTTAGGCTTATTAAGGCCTGTTACGAATATTACAAAACAGAATCCTTCCATTGTCTCAGAGCTGTAATTAAAATTCTTTTTCCTTCTGGGTGATTTATAGTATCTTTTCAAAATCCTTTCAGAGTTCATCCTGTCAACATTAAAATTTCTTCTGTATTGTTCATAAATTATTTGTTAAATTTGTTGCTCTTCTATAATTTCTTTGTTTTTTCAATGATCTAAAGGGGTATGCACTGCAGTCCTCCTGAAACACAATCTTTTCTTATCAGGTCCTCTTATTTTCCTTGATTGACTGCCACATTTGTCTAACAAATGTCTTGTAAGACTAGATGCAAGTGATAACAAGGAACACATATGTAATACATGTGTAATGCAGTGAGGTTGTAAATCTTTCCACTTTTGTTTCCTATTTTCCATACCCACGCAATTGAAATGCAGCACAATTTGTAAGGATTTATTAGGAGTTATTATATTTTGATTTTATTCTGGGTTATTATTGTGGTTAGGACATGACGCGCAAGCATGCTTGCGTGTGCGTGATACAGACTATATCCAATCCCTGTTTTATTGAAGTTTCCATAACCTCCATATTTTTAAGCCCAAACATAATCAAAGACAAGTAATATGACTGGCACTTCGTTTCTAGGACAACTCAGTATACACCTTACCAACCAGAGGTTGCTCAGGGCCGTCTGGAAGGGCTCCTCAACTACCAGACAATGGTCACTGATCTGACTGGTATGGAAGTGGCTAATGCTTCCTTGCTGGATGAGGGTACTGCAGCAGCTGAAGCCATGAGTCTTTGTCATAGGTAAAATGACTGGTATGATCTTTCAACTTCGATGGTACAATACATATTTCAAGTGCTTGGAAACAATATTCCCAGGAAAATTCAGACCTAGGAGAGAGGAAGTGTGATATGGGAGGCATCATATAAAAAGAAACTCCATCATACACACTGTTCACCTATTATTGTTATGGTTGTAAAATAAAGGCGTTCTGGGGTACACATATAATTCAGATGGGGATAAAAGAACCTCTGGGAAAGGAGACATTATGAAGACAAGGGGATGGGTAGATAGGGATAGGAGTTTCACTGAATTGGCTCAGATTCATCTTCAGTGATAGGTTCTGGAACTAGTGCCATCAAATATTGGAGTCCTATTTCCACATAGTTTATTTATTTAGTTAGTTAATTAAGATCACTGCATGTGATGGCTCATGTAAACAGCAGTTAACCAGTCATACAATCAGTTCCCATTAGAAAGCTCATAGACACTTAGGAGACAGAGTGTTTCAAGTTGGTATGTCCAGACTCTCAGTTTATCTTTCACTCTCTGCAATGAAGTCTGCTAGTCATGGAGACTGAGTACATTTCAAACATATCAGAACTAGTATTTGGCTGTATGACTTGATTTTATATAAGAATTCTGCTTCATGGTAAATGCATTTAATATTTAAACAATTTATAAACTTAGCTAAAATTCTATGCTACTAAGTACTTAAATTGTATTTTTTAAAAATCCAAACAAACTCAAGCATATGAAAAATACAATATCATAAAAATGGTTTAATACAAACATTTCAGTCTTCATGCATTTAACCTTCAGAAATATGCAATCACAATTACAAATGACAAGGTTCCATTTTAATTTTTGTATAAAAAAATGTCAATATATCATTAACGTTAATTTAATATATATATTAAATTTTGCATTAGTAACAATTTTACAACCAAATTACATTTTACTACTGTGTTCAAGTTAATGTTCCTTCTGCAGGCAGACCAAGAGGTGGCGCCTGTTCCTTTCTGACCAACTTCACCCTCAGACTGTGTCAGTGGTCCAGACTAGAGCTGACTCACTGGGGCTTACAGTTGAGTTGGGAAATGTGTTTGCAGCAGACTTTTCCAATCGAGATGTTGCTGGGGTGCTTTTCCAGTATCCAGATACTGAGGGTTCTGTTCATGATTTCTCTGAAGTAGTCCAGAGAGCTCATTCCAATGGTGTAAGTTACTAACAAAGCATTAGATTTGCTCTCACTGATTGCTCCTCGTTATTATGTAAGTTACAACTTCAACAGCAATGAGAAATTGTGAGAATACTTGAAACTTGGAAATTCCAAGAATGTTTCTTGCGTTGGAAAGCCTTCCTACAGATTCTCCTAAGTCAGTTATTCTCAGATGTTTTCTACAGAAACCTAAATTCCAATGATCAGATTATGATTGCTAACATAAAAGGAATTTTAAAAGAAAATTATAAATCTGGAGGCTGTTTTTAAACCAAAGGATTCATATGCCTTCATGCAATGCATGATCTACCAATCTCTGCTAAACAGGGATGGTTTATAACAAAACCATCTAAGTTATGAAACTGCTTGTACATTCCAGCTGTTCACCCAGTCATGTGGTTGGCACTCATCGTTAATATTCAGGAAGTTCAAAATCCATTTCTCAGCCTGCAAAGTGGCTGTATGGTATTTCTTAGTCCCCTCCAGATGAATACTGGAAAAGTACCTTAAATTAGGCCATGTTTCTTTCTCTTCACATCCCTTCCAGTTAATTATTCATATTTATCTTGTTATCTTCACAACCTATGCTCTTTACCAAACAATGTTAAAGAAATAAATTCTTGCAATGAAGCCTTCCTCTTTACACTGTGTCTCTATAAGTAGTTACTGTAAACAAAAGAACACTGAGTCAGTCTGTGGCACAGTGCAAATTATAACAATGAAATAGTAAATATGACAGCATCTGAGAATGATGTACAAATAAAGGATATAAGTCTTTGCTAGAGGCAATATTATCTCAGCAGTTCTTCTAAATACATTATGTTACTGTAATATTCAGTGAGTGCCTCTTTCTGTCTTTCTGTGGAGATTTACTGTAATTCTTGGAACATAATAAATCTGTCCAACTGTCTGTGGGCAGACTCTGATTTGCTGTGCTACAGACCTGCTAGCACTCACACTACTTCGTCCTCCGAGTGAGTTTGATGTGGACATCTCTGTAGGAACTAGCCAGCGATTTGGCGTGCCTCTTGGCTACGGAGGTCCCCATGCAGGTTTCTTTGCTTGCAGACAATCACTGGTTAGACTCATGCCTGGCCGCATGATAGGAGTCACTCGGTAGGTATTTAAAGGTCGCTTTTTATACCATGTGTCAAAAAAGTTATGTGGTTTTCAGATTCTGTTTTGTAACAGTGAGTGCCAGAAACATGAGTTTAACACAAAATGGAAAAGAAACAACCTGTATTGTTGAAGTTCAGCATGGGGCTCATCTGTTGTTTTGTATTGAGAATGTCTGAATTTATGCTTTTCAAATCATTTTCTTTAACTGGTCTACATTACTGATTTATACTCCTGATACCACTTGGCTTATATACTACTGACAGTGTCACTAAATAAACCATGAATAAAAAAATTTGTTGTTGTATCATTTGCTATGAATAGTGCACTAACAAAGCACATGCAGTGTGTTGTGTGGATACTAAAGCATCAACCACATATGACAACATCAAATGTCTTCAAATGGTGCTGGTGCTCAGTTTAAAAAGTTAAAGCTGCCATTGTGCTTAATTAAGCACCACATTATGAGGACATATGGGATGTAGATTATAGCTCCACATATTCTCATAGCCACGCTGTGTCAGAGTGACAAAATTCTGGTGTACTCTATAGAACTCCAATAAGCCAAGAACACTGCTGGTCTACTATAGTTATCTGGTTAAGTTATAAAATCCAAAGTCACAAGCAAGTGAATATGTCGATTTAATACATAACATCATCTAGCATTACCAATTAAATGTTTATATAGCACTGGTAAACTAATACTTCTGGCTTTGATTTACTGAGAATGGGGTTCATATTTAAAATATATTTGAAAGTTTTATGGCAACCACAAAAAAAGTCAGTGATTTGACAATAACTGATGAATATCAGAACTTTGAAACTTGTATGATGTTACAGACACATCTATAAGCAATGAAAACATGAAGATCTAATTTCTAATACTTCATACTCCTAAAATATATCACATCATAAGTGAATGCTTTTAACATTTATTATATATAACATGACTAAGTATATGTTGTTGTCTCATCACCAAAATATAGGGCAAAATCATGATATAAAGATAGGAAACAGATGTTTTGAAACTGTGGCACAATTCAGATATTTGGGAACAATGATAAAAGGTCGAAACCTGATTCAGGAGGAGATTGAACTCAGGTAATGCTTGCTACCATTCAGTCCAGAACCTTTTGTCTTCTTGCCTGCTGTCCAAAAACATAAAAATTAGAATATACAAAACTATAATTTTACCTGTGGTTCTGTATGGGTATGAAACTTGGTCTCTGACATTAAGGGAGGAACATAGACCGAGGGTGTTTGAGAACAGGGTGTTGAGGAGAATATTTGGACCGAAGAGAGATGAAGTGACAGGAGGTTGGAGAAAACTGCATAATGAGGAGCTTCATAACTTGTACTCTACTCCAGTTTAGGATATTGATGGGAAAGCCAGAAGGAAAGAGACCACTGGGGAGACCAAGGCATAGGTGGGTGGACAATATTAAAACTGATCTTAGAGAGATAGGACAGGATGGTATTAATTGGATTGATCTGGCTCAGGATAGGGACCAGCAGAGGGCTCTTGTGAACATGGTAATGAACCTTCGGGTTCCATAAAATGCTTGGAAATTCTTGAGTAGCAGCAGAATTGGCAGCTCCTCCAGAACGGTTCAGCTCCATGAGAGTAAGTAAGTAAGTAAGTAACACTTCTATAGATATGCATTTTGGGGAATAGCTGTTTCTGTTTCTCTTCTTCTGATCATGCAGATTAATTCTTCGGGAACATACTTTACAACATGCCATAATTTTGCTCTTGCCCTTCCAGGCCATGTTCTCAACTTCTCAACAAACACCAAGATTCAGTGGTCTGTACAGCAGTTTGTATTTAGGTCTAGATTCGAATTTCAGTCTGAAAACTGACTCTGCTGATGAAATTATCATAGTTTCCCTCAGTCCCTCTAGACAAATTCTGTAACAGTACCATAAAACATGTCATGATCACTTCCTTTTACATTCTCTTCAATACATAGTTCACAATTAGCTGGCTTCCCATCGCCGCGGCCCGGGTTCGATCCCGGTTCTGGTTAAGTGGGATTTGTGGTGGTCAAAGTGGCACTGCGGCAGATTTTCTCCGAGTACTTGGTTTTCCCTGCCAATCTTCATTCCACCAAATTCTCCATCATCATAACCACCCGGGGCAGGTTACAATAAGCCTATCAGTGGCCGCAGTGCCAAGTGGACCCAGTTGGACTCCAATAGTTCACAATCACCATACAAATATCATTATTATAATCAAATCACTTTAACAATGTCATTACTAACTCAAAAATCACCATCATCTCACCTGTCAGTTTCATATCACCACTGACAATTCAATTTGTGCACAGGGATGCAAGTGGCCATGATGCATACCGCCTGGCCTTACAGACTAGAGAGCAACACATCAGGCGAGATAAGGCAACCAGCAACATCTGCACAGCCCAAGCACTTCTAGCCAACATGTCAGCCATGTATGCTGTGTACCATGGACCTCATGGACTGAAGGAAATTGCAACCAGGATTCACAATTCAGCTCTTCTGTTGAGTGCAGGTACAAAAATATATTACTGTATGCAAATGAGTCATACAGTTTCAATAAGAATACCACAATTTGTTCATACTTGACATAAGCCCTAGATAGTTCAAGAGATCACAGAGCCATCATGCTGGTATTTCAAACATGGGATATATTAGTATAATATTTTTATATACGTTTGTGACATCCTGAACTAACTTTCTTATTATGTAACCAGTCTGGGTCTGAGATGAAGTCTCCAGAGTGGAAGTATAAGAGCAGGACTTCATGCTACTGGTTATGACTACCACACACTTCAGAGGGTAATGACAGATGAGTGTGGAGCAACGGTGGAATAAATAGCAGAGGGAAGCTAAAGAAACTCAGAAAATTCCTGCTCTGGTGGCACTTCATCCACCACAAATCTCACCTGAAGTCACTTTGGACTGAATCCAAGGCTTCATAGTGAATACCCAGTGTCTAGTTACCTGACCTGTGGATTCTACACTTACATAATCTCTTATTATACAAAATTTAATGTAATGAAGAATCTATAGGTTCATTAAAAAGAGATAACTTCGTTATAAGCTGAAGATTAATGTCAACTGCCATGGAGCCAGCCAATTGATCGGATAGCCGTTCCATTATTCCAAAATGCTGTACCAACTGCTGTGTTGTATAACATACTAATGTTATAAGGTGGGATGATTATACATGATGAATCAGGAGGGATATAAGATAAAGTAGCAATAGTCTGTCATTTGCTGTAGAGTCTGACAAAACCCAGGAGAAACCACAGTTAGTATAGCAGCCCTCAATCAGGTACCTCTCAATTTCAAATTACATAATTTACCTCTAGGTATACATGGTCAATAACAAGTCTTGTTATGTATATTTCAGGCGTTCGGGAATGTGGAAACACTGTTATCAATCAAGTATTCTTTGATACAGTACGAATTAGCCCAGCAATGGATCAGGGCGAGATTCAACACAGGGCTCGCCAAAAGCAAATCAACCTCAGATTTTATCCTGATGGAACGGTATGAAACTTCATCTTCTAACACTTCAAGATTTTGCATAGACAGTTGTCTTTGAAGACTGCTGTCTTCTTGGATTTTACACAGTGTATTCTGGTAGATTATTATCGAAGTTTAGGATGTTGCCTCCATCTTCAGGGTAAAGACCCATATCCTATAGTTGGAGGCATGCCATGATAATCTCAAATCCTGCAAAGCTGTCTTTGTATTCAAGTTTACCACCTCAGTGTATATTAATGTTTAAAATAATGCAATATTTACAAAATATACACTTTTATTTCCTGTCAACATAAAAGTAAAAACCTAAAGTTGTCCTTGTGCTTAACTAATTAAGCACTATGCCATGAAGGTGTATGGGGGAGTGGATGTATAGATCCACATTTTCTTGACCTCAGCAATAGCTGGAGGTGAGTGGTCAGCTTCATGCCCCTTCCATTTTACCCCTGGTACCCACTGGATAAGTTGAATGGACCCCAGAGCCAGTTTGGGCAATGTGGAGAAGAGAAAATTCTTGCCCCTACCACAAGTCAAGTTCTGACTCCTCAGTCATCCAGCCTGTAACCAGTTGTTATACCAGCTCCTTCTGTTAACACAGAGTATAGAAATATTACAAACCAAGGAACTGAATCCATTTAATACTACCAAACCCATGGCTGCTTCCATTACAATTATAAAATAATCTGTACACAATTTGGAATATGAAGAATGCTGTATCAAAAGTAAAGTCCATGCATTTCAGTTCTGAAACCATTTGTTGAATTTGGATGACACCTGGCAAGGGGTATCTTCATGGTATGCTGATGACAGAATTTAATTTTTGTTCAGTGTGGTCAGCTAGAACCGCTGCTTTACACAAGAGATAACTTGTTTCAGTATTTCATCAAATATAAATCAAATTAAAAATGAATTAAGAATATGATCCTCTGGCTTGTAATGTCATGCATTTTGGAGAGCCCAGTATTTCAGAGGACAATATTGCCTCTGTCTTCAGAGTGAGCTAAACAATAATCAGCAGAAACAGATGGCTCTGCCTGTTGCCTGCTTGTGATGGTTTCTTGCATGGCTTACACTTTGACCCTGAAGATGGAGGCACTATATTCATCCAAAACATTAGGCTCTCTCCTAACTACATGATAGTACAACCCATAAGACCACACTCTTCATAGGAACTGCCATGAAAAATTAAATCTGCATAAAAAATCAAGTTCTTTTAAAAATCAGCTAAAATATAAACGGAGTAAACAAGACTAATGGATACCCAAAATTAAGAGAAAGTTAATGTATGCTACAATTTTAGTGCTGACTTAATGGGACTGTTTGTTTTAAACTGACTGCAGAGGAAGAGTACTTTTAATGTCTTGTTATGTAGGTAGGTGTCTCACTTGATGAAACAGTCAGGATTCAAGATGTGGAGGACTTACTCTGGGTCTTCGGTTCAAGACTGTCAGCTGAAGAGGTATGTCTGACTGCAATTATATTCAAAATTTGCTACAGGGTTTACAATGTTATGAAAAATGTCCACAGCAATGTATTCTCTTTCCACTTATCTTTCTGATTAAATGTAAAATCATAAAGTAGAATTAAGAAAAGTGTACAAATGCAAATAAATAATTCACCCAGTTACATGTATGCAGATTATCTGTGCATGCTGTTTTAATATTTTTCATTAAATTTTATATTTATTAAGTGTATGTGCTTTGCCATATACACACGAACTGTTGCTTTGGGGATGCAGTGTCTGAAGACCGTGAGGGAAGGACTGAACTTTCCCATCATCCTCCATGATACCTTCTCTTCCTACTGTACTTCAAATCAATAAAATCATGACAATGCTAGCATGGGTACATCAAAGATGTAAGTTAAAAAAGATTAATTTCAGTACCTGTGTCTTTTAATTGTTCATGCTTCCTCTCCTCTCTAACAAAACAGTGACTCATGGGATACTGTACATCTAAGCCATTTCATAGCTCAGGCAGCCACATTCTGCTTTTTGCTACATTAATGAAAATTCAATCCTAGGGCACACCATATGGGATTCATGATGAAAAAAAAATGCCCTGGGACATTGACTACTTCAGTTTCCCCTTGCCAATTTTCAGTACTCACTTATCACTGACACAGATTAATAAGCACATTTTCACAACTTTGGTCTTCATGTATGACTTCCAACTCTGACCCAGCCAAGTGCTGAAAGATAAAACAAAGGAAGCTAATTAACTAACAAAGAAACAATATAACAAATAACTTAATTCCATAGAACAGAGTCGTTCTTGATAAGCAAACCGTCACTCAGCAACTCAAGAAATTTTCTGCCTTTCTGGGTTGATGGGAGCCTACCACTTGCTCTGGTAGGGACAAGAGCCCAAATGAAACCAGTCTGCATCCTGCTATCCTTTGTCTTTTGAGATGCATTTCTGTGTTATCCCCTTATTTGTGCCTAGATTTTCTAAGCAGTTTCTTCTCTTCAAGTCTTCTAACCACAAATCTTCCATTTATAGACATGTGCTACCCTTATTCTGCGTTCAATTTCTCAGGCTTAAAACTGTTTCTTCTTGTGCCACATAATTTCGGTCATCGAATTTCACTTTCCTTTTTAACCTTCAACTAAACAGTTTTAGCAGGTATCAACAAGTACCTGCTTATCTGTTGATAAACTGTGGTTGAGAAATTGAAAATTATTCCACATTCCCTTTTTATATGTGGAAGTTATACCTTTATGATAAGACATATAAGCAGATGACATTACAATTGCTGAATGGAGTATGAAGTTTGAGCAAACTTGGCATGTATTTAGAGGGTCCTGTGCAAGAACTCCAACCTAACACATTCATATCTGCAGTTTGAAATGCTCACAGTAATTTTCCCCTGGAATGGGAAATATTTGAGGTGGTGCACAATTTAGTTCATGTCACAATCTGTAGATCTAACAATATTGTATTGAAAGAGAACAGTTTAGATGGAACACAGCTTCTCAGATGGCAACATATGGATATGGGCACCCATTAACAGGACCTCAACCAGTCTGTGGTATTTTCAACAAAGTTGACAAACTGGCCAATGGGGACTGGATGATCAGAGATCACCAAGTATTCTCAAAGTCTGCACCTGGGCCCCCACCCCCCTAATAAACCATAGGGCATCCTTTGTAAATCCTCTACCAAAAGTACTAGAGAGATCTTAAGAGTCAGAGAGGTATCAATTGGGGCAACTGACAGAATGACCTAGGTGACACTACCATTTGAAAGAACACTTATTCAAACTGGGCCCAGTGATTAGTGCTAACTTTTAAAGCTGCCATGACAAAGATGGAAGAGCCTCACACATCCCAAGTGGCTATAAATTCCAGTTAGGACTCTTTCGTGAAGTCAATTAACTATCAAAGAATCCAATCAAGCGAAGTACTGCACTTCATTTCAACTGCTGGACTCCTAAAGGGATAATCTTAGGCATGAGATGCAAAATATCTCTCAGATAATAATGGTGCAAGGGTCATTGGTCATTTACATCACATTTCTTCAATACATTCTAGGTTAGATGTAAAAGTGCTGATGTATTGCTGTAAAAAGATCTGCTTGAAAAAATGTCTGAAAATTATCTGCATTGAAGACATAGTCAAATTTCAAGATGGGCTACAATATGTTAATTTTATCTCTTGTGCCAGTCTTTTAAGTAATATACTGCATATCATCTGAACCATATTTAAATGGCAAATGGAATAAGACTACCTGGAAAGGGGCAGTGAGTCAGATTTGTAGGGTAACTTTTTGGCCTCTTCCTTCCGTACCGCAGAGTAAGTCATTGCAGCTTCTAGTTATTACTTCTCTGCCAACCCCTGAGCACGAGGATGATCATAGATGCGTATGGAGCACAGTGGAATGATATTTGGCAAACGAAAACCTAAATAATCAAAGAAAAACCTGTCCAGTTACAATTTTGTCTACCATTGCCTGTACCAGAAACCATCCTTCACAGTATTAAGGTAATGTCTAGCTGTCTGTGTTACAGAACAGCCACACAATCCTACACAGGAATGGTTCTGCTGTTTGCATGCTGCATTTCATGAAAACACTTTATTGCAGGTGGCTGGTAGCTGTAACCTCAACGAAGGCAGCATATTTCTGTCAAGTTTTCGTCGCACATCTCCATATCTCACTCATCCTGTATTCAACTCATACCATTCAGAGACTCGTATTGTGAGATACATGAAAACATTGGAGAATAAAGATGTATCATTAGTACACTCCATGATACCTCTTGTAAGTACAGATTTATTTGAAACCTCTAGCATTTCAGTTCACTGTCTGGATTTAAATGTGCAATTTAGATACGAGTAAAAACCTCTTCACTTGGAAAAGTCGTGTACAATTATGTTATCATAAGAATGGATAATGCAAATATTCATCTGCTGTAGCTAGAATTTTGAACATCTGTCATACATGGCATACAGCCAAGAAACTACCCGGTGTGGGAGTATGGAAGTATTGTCTTTCGCTTTCCTTCTAAACTGCATATAATTATACAGATACAAATTCACCTAATACGTTTGGTCTGGATATACAATACTTAATTTTTTCCTTATTTTTTGCCAGTTTGAATTTCCTCCATACTGGTTTTTATAAAATGGAAAACTGCAATGAAAGCAAAAGGGTATTCAAAAAGCTTATATTCCTTTAATGACAGTAAACAGAAGATGTTAACAGCATTCTGGCATGTAACTGTGTCCTCCCATGTTTAAAATATGGGTGGAAGTGTCTGTAAATTCCATCCCACAGTTCTGGCTTACAGTGGCAGCTCATACATAATTTTTCTGGTAGCACACCTCCACAACAAAATGTTAATTTTGGCTGCATTTTCAGTTTCTTAATCCTATACACAGTTGGTAGGACTCCTTGGATGGGGGATCAGACCATCACAAGGCTGCTACCTACACACAGAACAACACAAACACAGAATAAACACACACAGACAGCCATGCATCGAGTGGGATTCAAACCCATGATCCCAGTGTTCGAGCAGGCAAAGATGGTTCATGACTTAGACTGTGCGGCCACTGTGACTGGCGGTTCATGCACTCAAGACAGTTAATTTTAGCAGTACACCAGCAATTTGAAGTATTATAGCAAGGAAATTAATACAAACGGTCTTCACATGTCTAAGGAACTGTAATATATAGAAACAAAACCGGGAAGAAAGCCATGTGCTCAAAGTCCATTCTGCAAAAGAAATAATTTGTCTCACCAACCTTGGCCAGATAAGGTGCTACAGAACAAAATTCGGATATGGGAACAGTGTGTTAGTGTTCAGCACTGTTTCCTGAGACTAGTGCATGCAATGGAAAGTTGGGCTCACTCATGGGAAGCGGTGTTGCTTATCACAGGGATCTTGTACTATGAAGCTGAACAGTACTACAGAAATGCTGCCATGCAGTTTCCAGCACTTTACTGACATTCACCCATTTGCACCACTGGACCAGTCACTTGGTTACCAGCAACTGTTTGAAGAGCTGCAACAAGACTTATGTGCCATCACCGGGTATGACAGAATCTCATTCCAGCCTAACAGGTAACAGTATAAATGGAACTTATCAGGTATAGCTCATAACTGTGTGTTATTAGTGTCTTCTTTATATAATGCCAACATCCAAATCCATATTTATATATATTGCTTTCATTATGCTTTTACAGAGTCAACTAAAGTTTATCTGTATTGGAAGAGCATGATAAAATTAAAATATATAAAACCATAATTTTATCACTTGTTTTTTATATATGTGAAACTTGGTCTCTCCCTCCATGAAAAGCAAGTACATTGAGGGTATTTGAGAACAGAGAAATAATATTTGGCCACAAGAAATTAGAATTAATAGGATGGAAAAAATTCTATAGTGGGCAGTTTCAAAAGTTGCATTCTTCACCTGATACTCTTAGGGTGATCAAGACAAGGGTGAGATGGAAGGAGTGTGTGGCATGCATCAGCAGGATAAGTAATGCATAACAAATGTTCTTTCAAAGAGATCGCTTGGAAAGTTTAGATATAGACTTGGAGTATATCAAACTGGAACCTAGATTGAACTAAAGTACAACTAGAGTCTCAGCAGTGCAACTGTGTGAATGCAGTTCCATATATACAGCGAATTTTCTACCTAGCTCAGTAACTACCCACACTTCAATGAAAACCTTGTACCATGGAGTTAACTGTAGAATAATGTGAAGCTCACTCATTAAGACATTTTTACAGTTCGTCATAGATATTTATGCATGTCTTTCAGCGGAGCACAAGGAGAATATGCTGGACTGAGGGCTATTAAGTGTTACCACGAAGCATGTTCTGAGGGACACCGTAACATCTGTCTCATACCAATATCTGCTCATGGCACCAACCCTGCCTCTGCACAAATGGCTGGTATGAAGGTTGAACCAATAAATGTAAGCCGTGATGGAAGCATTGACATCTCTCATCTTGCATCTAAGGTGAGAACAGTATAAAGTATGTTTATCACTTTTTTTATCTATTTATATAAACATACTGACATGGCAACAAACTAAGGTAAAAGGTAAAGCTATCCCTGTAAGTGGCCATGGAGGCCCATAGGGTTGTGAGAAGTTGAGGCTCCAACATTTGCTAGACAATTTGCTCACAGATGGTGGTGAAATTGTCAGCCTTATGCTGTGGCTGCCCTTTACCCCAGGAATATTCCTGGTACTCATTTCTGTTAGAGGCTGAGTCGACCCCAGGACCATAGTGCAGCTGGAAGGATTAGGTCAATTGAAAATTCCAATGGTCTCAACAGGAATCGAACCCGTGACCTTCTGTCTTGTAGCATAGTTCCTCAACCAACTATGCTACTGCCTGCCCCAGCATCAAGCTGCAAGATGATTACAAACAATGGATTAGGTGAAGCAGAGAGGAAGTGCCTATTCTAAGACACTATAACTGAATTTTCCTAGAGTGACTGAGAACAAAAATTAGGAAAGCTAGTCTTTGGACAAACGACAATTCAGTCACATAATACAAGGTAACTGATATGTCCCCATACCTAAACACAAAGTTGTGAAAGTATGTGACATAGGGTGTGGAAGTAAATTTTGCCATATTCTTGCCCTGGCATTAAATCAAGGTGGGTAATCAGTTCTCATTCTGACTGCTTCACTTTCAAGTAGGGTTCCTAGTTTCCATTACATGGGACGCACACTGGATCTCACAGCCATTTTGGATTTTGTGAAAGAAGGATAATACCCATCTATCAGGAATTAAACTGCAGCTTTCCAAAATGTAGCACATCACCTTACTAACTGAATGAAGTAAAGTCATATAAGTAAATGAATCAATGCAACAATTTATCACTGGAAACATCTTTTCCTGTGGAACTGATTTTGAGCAAAGATTAAACCTGCTACAGAGAACAATTTGACTATGCTTAGATGTTCAAGAGAGGCTACAATACTAAATGCTTTTCATTGTAATAGTACTGCATTTAATTCTTCTGTTTGTTACGATAAGGTTGAGAAGCACGGAAAAAACTTGGCTTGCCTCATGATCACTTACCCATCAACAAATGGAGTGTTTGAAGAAACTATTGCTGATGTCTGTCAGATGATCCACGACAATGGTGGACAGGTGAGGTTCAGTGTTTCCTTTGTGTTTCATGTTCTGCTTACTGCCCCTCCTATCCCAGTGCTGCTGCTTCACATGAAGTGACACTTATAGCAGCTTAGCCTCTGGCAGACTTGCTGCTCACCTTTGCCATGTTCCAGGACACATTTTCTGATGTTATCCTGCACTTCTTCCCTGCCTCCTGGGTGTTGAGAGGTTAGGTGTGAAGGAAGGAGAGTTATGGTCGTTGCTGTTAGTAGCCATGGGTTATCTTTACCTGGAATTACTTAGGTGTCTCATTAGTAGGGACAAGTCAGAAGTAGCTAGGCACAGCACATTATTCCTAATAGAAACCAATTTATGCTTCCACCTATGCGAATACGAAACTTATACAATTGGTGCCACCAGAAATTATAATGTATCAAAAATTACATTTCTTTGCACCTGAATAAGCCAAAAGTTGAATGAAGATACCTGTTGGAGAATGAACTCTCTGAAATCCTGAGATCCTCTGAGCCTCAGCATCCAAGAGAAGCTCACTCCTCCAAACACGTATTATTGGTTAATTTTGAAAACTGGGAGGTTTCCTAATTTCATAAATTTCCAATCGCATTATTTTGCTATGTGATTCTGTCCTTTATACACCTAATGTAGAACTGACAGCTCTGTGATGTATTATCAGCTTGGTGTGGGGTCTCTGTCACTCCCACTTAAAGTTTACAACTTAGCTTAGCCATAAAGTCTCAGGTTCTCAAAGGCCTTCTGCAGCAGCTGAAACTACCAGAATTACAGGAACAGCCTGTCCACATAGCAATACTGGAACTACATCACTTGCTGAATGTAAGAATGTGACTATCTACCTGATCTTTGTTTATAACTTATATGCCTTAAATCAAGCCGCCTCTGTGGTCTAGTTGTCAGAGTTCCTGGCCACAGATCCGGAGGTCCAGGTTTGATTCCCAGCGCTACCAGATTTTCTGAGAAGTAGTGGGTCTTGAATGGGGTCCACTCAGGCTCATGAGGATAACTGAGGAACTATTTCGAGGATATAGCAGCTCTGATCTAGAAAACCGAAATTAACGGCCATGGGGATTCATTGTGCTGACCACGCGACACCCTCTATCTGCTAAAGTTGGCACTAACTTCACTGACAAGCAGCAGTTGCTCGGTTGGCATAGTTCACTTGTGGACTAAAACTATGGAGTTTCTTCTTTTGTTTTGATGCCTTAAATCAATAAATCTGAATTATTATGAATTATGCTAGGCAAGTATAAATGTTCTCATTTAATCATAGGCAAACCCTGATGCTGAGTGGGTTGTCTTCTTTCATTTTCACAGATTGATCATTGAAGGTACAAGGGCCGGTTTTTATGGCTCACCCCTCATACTCATACTCATTTTCACGGATTTAATTCAGTGACTGATAAATATCCAGTATTCAAGGGCATTACCTCCTTTTAATGGCCGTGAAAAACTACAGGATGGAAATCATTAATTACAATATATTTCACCTTTACAGCAATGGAAGTGTTATGTCTGGAGTAAAATTTTACTACCCTTTTAGAGCATTTATTTTGAAATATCTGAATAGATTTCATCATGTTGAGGAGACATAATCAACAAGTATTTCTATGAGTTGAAATGCTGCTATAGTTTGTAAAGCATAAAATCATCCCACCTCTCCCACATTCATAATTATGCAGACAATGTCACATCAGCCATGAGTAATGAAATGCATTGAAAATGCATCCTCCACCACCTGAAATAAAGCAAAAGATAAATTAGCAAGTTCAGGTGCTGGAAAATCTTTCACAAAAACTCAAATATTCTGTAGAAATCAACAAAACCTTTTTTTTGGGCTTAAAGCACTGACATACGAGGGGGTACCCAAAAGAAACCGAACTTTTTTTTTTTAAACTTATTTATTCAAATTTTAAGCACAAACCTTCAATCCCCTTCAAAGTACTCTCCACTTACACTAATACACTTGTCTAGTCTTTTATTCCATTTTTCAAAACATTGTCTAAATTCATCTTTTGAGATGCTTGACAGCGCCTCCGTCGTTTTTTCCTTTCATGTCTCTTTTCATTCGAGGAAACAAAAAAAAGTCGCACGGGGCAAGGTCGGGTGAGTATGGAGGGTGAGGAACAGGGGTCATACCATTTTTGGTCAAGAATTGTCGTACAGACAGGGCTGTGTGAGCAGGGGCATTGTCATGATGGAAAAACCAGTCACCCGACTGCCACAAATCTGGCCGCTGAGCTCCAAGTCACTCCCGACAGCTCCACAATTTCTTCAATGGTCCATCGTCGATCTTCCTTGATGATTTCACGAATTTTTTCAACATTTTCATGTGTTCGGGCCGTGGAAGGACGACCAGAACGAGGTTTGTCATCAATTGACATTTCACCATTTTTGAAACGGGAAAACCACTCAAACACTTGAGTTTTCGTCCTTGTACGCCGTTTTTAACACTTCAAGAGTTTCTGTTCCACTTTTCCCGAGCAAAAAGCAGAATTTCATCGCCGCACGCTGTTCACGAAAATCAGCCATTGCAAAAATGACGATCACACAAAACAGTTGTCACTATAAACTCTGCCGAAACTAGTCCTTACCTTCTGAAGCAACAGTAGTCGGCTTATCGACTCAGGAATGTTAGCTCTATGCGCTTATAGCGGCAAAACGCGGTACTACAAAAGCTCTGCCCACAAAAAAATTAGTTCGGTTTCTTTTGGGTACCCCATCGTAAACACAGCTTTATAATATAGCAGAATATGACAGATGCATTCTGAAGACATGAAGTGACAACTGGTGGGGTACAGTTCAACATGTAACGAGTACAATTCCTGAACTCTGAAGTATAGTATAACCATTACAAAATGATTTTCTGTACACCAAACCAGGCAGCCAGATGTCCTGATTTGCCAATCTACACACTGTCGGACCATGCTGACTCATTTGTCTCCATGACTCAATCCAAAGGAATGGGATATCATTTCTGAGTGCACATCAAAACTCCCTGAACGATATCTACATGGTGCCACATCCCAGGAGATGGCATTCTTCAGTCACCGCCATGAAAACCTCAAATCTTACAAAATCTCAAGCAGTTAGTTGCTGGCTTCCCACCGTGCCGGCCCAAGTTCAATCCCGGGGTCTGGTCAAGTGGGATTTGTGGTGAACAAAGTGGCGCTGGGGTGGGTTTTCTCCGAGTACTTCGGTTTCCTCTGCCAATCTTCATTCCACCAAATTCTCCATCATCATAATCACCCAGGGCAGGTACAATAGGCCAATGAGTGGCCGCCATGGAGAGTATACCCAGCTGGACTCCACCCCTACTAAGCGAATTTAATTTTTTTTACATAATCCACATATATTTACAAATTTTTGTGTCAACATTTTTACTTCTAACTAATTAACCACCTTCTGACATAATTAACCAACTGCCAAACCAGACCAAACAGCCAAACATGGCCAAATCCCCAAAACTAAGCAACTACCTGATGACATGGTAAAATCTAAGAACCTAAAAATGAACAAAACATGTAACATACATTGTTTGTAAAAATGAAAAGAAAAAAAATTATTTATCCATGTCCTTCACTTGCATGAAAAGTCAACTTGTAATTTTGCCTTTAAAAATGTATATACATTTTCAGGTATACCTTGATGGAGCGAATATGAATGCACAAGTTGGCTTGTGTCGCCCAGGTGACTACGGTTCTGATGTGTCTCATCTGAACCTCCATAAAACATTCTGTATCCCTCATGGTGGTGGGGGTCCTGGAATGGGTCCAATAGGAGTGTAAGTTGTCTTCCACCAAGTGCTAATGTTCATGGCATCACAAAAACGTCCTTAGAAAATACAAGATGTAAACCAATCACTTGGAGTTTTTCCTTACTTGTTCCTATCATTTGAGATAACTTCAGAACACGCAAGATATACCCAACCAAAGCAATGGTCATGTTACTTATTTCTTAGTTTATTTAATAATGCTCTTCCAGTTGCCAAATGGGCAAACCTGTGTTAAAGATGAGTTCAGTAGATATTCAAAAGTATTTTCCTGGTATTTGCCTTGATGGACTGAAGAACAACTCCAGCCAGAACAGCTGCCCTCTAGGTCAAAACTATATTAGAATACAGGAATGGCAGCCATTCAGGTGCAACATTTGATCAAGGTTTGCTTAAATTTAGCTTAACTAAAAATATCTGGGGTATGAGAGTAACAAGAAAATGGGGAAAATTATAATAATATTAAGTTTCACAATCTGTACTCCTTAATTAATATTATTATGGTGATGGGGGTCATTTGCATGGATTGTGACAATAAAAGTACTACTAATCAGTATTCTGCATTACTCAGACTGGGGAAAAAATAGGAGTACACTGGGACAGCATATCACCTCTATGCAGACACCAAGAAAGCCCATGATTCTGGTAAGAGGGAAGTATTGCACAACATTCTCATCACATTCACTATACCAGAATAATTAAAATGTGTTTAAACAAAACATATATAAAGTGTGTACAGCTCAATATTTATCACATGCACTCCCCATTGAGGATAGTATGAAACAGAGATGATGTAACACAACTTCTTTTCAACTTTCCTTCAGAATATGCCATTAGGAAGAACACAGAAAGCCAGGAGGGAATGAAACTGAAAGGGACACATCAGCTCTCTATGCTGGTCAAGTTAATCTCTTGTGTGAAATTATAAATACCATAAAGACAAACAAGAGAAACTACTAGTCTGGTCTGCACTGATGTTTAATATACTGAGGTAGGGGTATGAATTGGACCACCCACACCCATCTAGTGCTGAGATTAAGAATGGTGGAGCTATATTTCCACTCCCCCATATGTCTTCATGGTATGGTGCTTGCTTAATTAAGACCAGACATAACTTGATCTTTACATTCATGTCTCATTAACCTGAATGCAGGATAAAATCATGATATAAATATAGTTAAGAGATCCTCTGAAAATGTGGCAATGTTCAAATATTTAGTAATGATAGAAAAAATAAAAATTGTATTTACAAAGAAATTAAGTAAAAAGTAAAGGTAGCCCTGTAACAGGCCGTGGAGGCCCATAGGATTGTGAGATGTTGAGGTTCCCACATTTTTTAGACAATTGGCTCATAGATGGTGGGAAGGTTGTCAGCCCTACACGCTGGCTGCCCTTTGCCCCCAAGAATATTCCTGGTACTTATTTCTGTTAGAGGCTTAGTCGACCCCAGGGTCATAGTGTAGCCAGAAGGATTAGGTCAACTGAGAAAATCCAATAACATCATCGGGACTTGAACCCATGACCTTCCAGTTTGTAGTATAGTGCCTCAACCAACTACGCTACTGCATGCCCCAAAGAAATTAAGAGCAAATTAAATTTGAGGAATGCTTGCTGCCATTCAGTTCAGAATCTTATGTTATCCCATCTGACACCTAAAAACATGTGACTCTGCATAACGCAGTCAGTATAGTGACCAAAGGGTTGTAGTTCGAGTCCCAGTGGGACTCCTCCATGTCATTCAGACCGGCTCTGGGGTCCACCAAACCTCCTATCCAATGAGTCCCAGGGGGTAAAGCGGCCGGGGCGTGAAGCTGACCACTCACCTCCAACTAGTGCCAAGATCAAGAAAATATGGGTCTATATATCCACTCCCCTATATACCTTCATGATGTTACTTAGTTAAATAGAGGGACAACTTTACTTTTTACCTAAAACATAAAGTTTAAAATATGGAACTATAATTTCATCTGTTGTTTGGTATGGGTGAGAAACTTGGTCTCTCACATTATGGGAAGACACCAGATTAAGAGTTCAAGAAAAGACTGCTAAGGGGAACACTTGAATCCAACAGGGATAAAGTGCTGGCAGGCTGGAGGAAGTAGCACAACAAGGAGCTTCATAATTTATACTTCCCACCAAATGTGATGGGAGGGGAGGGATTCATTGGAGATATCTGGCTCAGGATAGACATCAGTGGCAGACATTTGAGAACATGGTAGTGAACCTTCAGGTTGCATAAAAGGCAGTGAATTCTGGAGTGGTTTGGTGGCCATCAGCTTCTCAAGAAGGACACTGCTCCATGCAGTTAGTGATAGGTGGGACATGTAGCATGCACAAGGGAAAAATGAAACTTACACTGCAGTGTTATGACAGAAATATGTCCTAAATTTGCTAATGTGCAGTAAGATTCTCACTGTTGAACTATACATAATCTTTCTGTTGCATTTCATGAAGTATACGTATATGATACAAAAAATGTTTCCTTAAAGTTGTAGATTTTACTGAGATTACATAACAGTTTCTGGTTGGCTGATATAATTTTTTTAAGAACATTTATAGAATTAGATTTGAGCTTCATACAATGCCTTATATAGAACTGATCAAAATTGAAATTAAATTCCCGTAACAGATTTTGTTTAGAACCTCTTATGTCTCCCAGTAAAAAATTTCATTAAAATCCAGTTGTTCCAAAGATAAACAAGTATAAACCTCCATTACACATTCATTTCATGTACTTTGAGCAATAATCATGTAGAAATGTGTTTCTGATCTACATACAATGGAAGGTAACTTAGTGATGTAGAAACAACAAAAACTGTGTCATGAAATAGTTGATTTTTTTTTTACAATTTTATTTTGAGAAAATTTGTTGTGCTGCTCAATTGATTATGTAGTAACAGCTATTCTAAGTCCAGTCCATACAATAAGTCTGAAACTTTTCTTTTACATAGTCATAGGTTCAGTGATTTTATTCTGTGATCTCTTCTGTTCTCATTACTTCCTGACAACTGATCAAACTGACATACAGCTATATAGAATATACAGTTTGCCATTGTCATACAAGCAGCTAGCTTTAAGTTAAACAAGCCTGGGGACAAGCCTGCCTACACCAGTCATCAATGTCTTTAACACATATATCCAGCTTAGTTTCTGGTAAGGCTGTGCCATAGCTCAAGCGGTTAGTCACTGGCTTCCCATCGCGGCAGCCCAGGCTTGATCCTGGGTCTGTTCAAGTGGGATTTGTGGTGGACAAAGTGGCGCTGGGGCAGGTTTTCTCCGAGTACTTCGGTTTCCCCTACCAATCTTCATTCTACCAATTGCTCCACAATCACCCTCACCTATCATCTGGGGCTGGTACAATAGGCCAGAAGTGGCAGCAGTGCAAGGGACTTAGTCCCACCCCACTAGCAATAAAAAAAATAGTAGTTTCTGGTAATCAGTGACATTATATTAACGAAATTCATGAAGCACATCCTTTCTGAATTAGCAAATTAATCACCGAATCAAATGATATGAGATTACATAAAGATTTAAAGTCTGACATACACAGTTCAAAACTTTTTTTGGACAGAATAATCAATTATCTCAATATTGGGTTTACATATTTTTGTGTGCATATACTGACAATACTGATTAGGAAATAAATTCAGTTAAATTAGGTTTATATATGAATAGAGATACATTTAAATAACCACTTTTCCTAGCTTTAATGTACCATTCATTAAAGAAGTATGGCAAATCAGAATTCATGTAAGACACTATGACAAACATCTATTCACAAGGTCCTCCATGGAACAAGCTATAGTTTAGTCTTGGAAGTGAAGCTACAGTTACATGAAAGTTCACTGAAGAGGTGTGGTCCTGTGTACAAGACTGCAGTGCTGACTGAAGCTTTCATGAGCCCAAAGCTTATGTTGATAAGGGCTGGTCAAAAGCTAAAGGAAAGAACAACACTGTGGACTGGATTAAGCAGAGATAAGTCTGATTGAGCAAAGAGTCAGTAGCTCTTGGCTGTGCTGATATTTGCATGGTAATCCCAGAAGGGAAATTCATATGACAGATGGTCATACTTAGAGACAATATCACTACATGTGATGGTAACCCACTTGTTATAAATGCTTCTGATTTCAACATGAGCATGTTATCCACTTTACAGGAAAGCTCACTTAGCACCATTTTTACCCACACATCCTGTAGTGAACCCAATGGCTGATATGGGTCGTCATTCAAAATCATTTGGCGTTGTAAGTGCAGCTCCATTTGGATCATCTGCAATTCTTCCTATCTCATGGGCATATATCAAGGTAAAGTGTATTGTATGTGTACAAGACAAGTATTAGAAACTATCTACCAATACAGAAGAATGTGCTGATATACAAATCAAGATATTTCTCAAATCAAAGGCATTATATGTTTTATCAACTCCAAGATATTTCAAAGAATTGAAAATCAAGATTATTTTATTCTTAAGATGTGCAGGACACTGGCCATGAGTTGTCTTCTTTCAGATGAATGTAGGTTAATTTCGTTTTGCATCACAGATATTGCAGATATTCAATCAATATAAATCAAACGTTCTGTAGAAATTTTATGAATTACTGTCCATATGCAGCAAACATAATAATAACTGAACTGGTTGACTTGTATAAACATTTTTCAGAACCCAAAAGTATCTGCTTCAAATACTAACTGAAGAATCTCATGGTTTTACATAGTTTCAGATGAATACCTTAAAATTAATAACAGCCCCTTCTTTCCTCATTGTTCCCAATACATTATTCATGATCATCATTAAATGACCTAAGAAATAATATAAATAAGGAGAAATTAAAACAAAATAAATGGAAATTTTTCTACAGATCTATCACATATCTGTATGTATGGAATTCTTGCTTGGAACAGAAATTTTTTCCCTAGTCACCATATCCAGAATCAATAATAGGTTTAACCCACTCTACAATCCAATGGATATTGGGAGCTCTTTCCACAGGTGTAAAGTGGAGAGAGTGCGAAGTTGGCCATCTAGTGCAAATGTTAAGAATGTGTGGATCTTTAACACCACACCCCTCTACATTAAGGTATAGTGCTTATGTCCAGCCACAGTTTGTTTGCTGTGTCGAAGATAAAGTCTAACTGGAACTAGATCATCAACATACTACTATTTCTTTGTTTCAAAAATTTATATCATAGCCCAGCATTTCAGTTCATCTTAGAATCTTAACCTTTCACCATCTACTCTAATTATACAAACTGCAACCCTGAAAACTCTCATATTCGTAATATACATGTTTCATAAATATTTTAATTACAGTGTCAGATTCAAAGAAAATAAGCTGGAAAGCTGGCACAATGTTTTCATTTGGTTAATATACTCATAAAAATGAAGGTAGACCTGAGATGTTGACATCAATATTTACTAAAATAAAATAAGGTTTCAAGGAACTTCAGTACTCCAAAACACAGGTGTGAAAGGGTTACTTCATTAAGTGAATGTCAGTAATTCATTATTTGGAAGATCAAAAGCTTTTGGTTGTCAGCAGATGTCAATGTTGAGCAGAACTCAACACTGATACAGGTAATTGCTCAAGAGAAATTATTTGGAGATTAAGTTGGGGAAACTTCAGAGAAACAGAACTGAATATTATTTTCAGACATTATTTTAGATGGAATCATTAACTCCCTATATATAATTCACTGGTTAACTTTTCAGATGATGGGACCACGTGGACTGAGGAAAGCAACTCAGGTGGCAATTCTGAATGCTAATTACATGAGCAAAAGATTAGAAGGTCATTACAAGACATTATTCAAGGGACAAAAGAGTTCGCTTGTAGCTCATGAATTCATTCTGGATGTTCGAGATTTCAAGAAGACAGCAAACATTGAAGCAGTCGATATTGCCAAGCGACTTATGGACTATGGTACAGTATCATGTTCCACAAAACCATAGGAAGGTCAGATTTTGTTCCAAAATACAGGTATCACTATTTATGTGTGCAAGAGAAAGGTAGAGTGTGAGAGTTAAGTGGGGAGGGCCAACTCTCTGGGGACAAACAACGTAGATTTAATTCAGTTGACACCAAAGCCATCAATGGACATGATCCTGGGTCACTTCAATCCAGGTCATATCTTCACAGTAATCTACTTAAAATCCAGTTTAATATTCTTCTTCCAACTTGTTCTTGGTCTTCCAAGTGACTGGTTCACCTTTCCAGTGGAAATGTTGCCAGAAGAAAAATAATAACAGTGAAACTATTCTGGCAATGAAGATCATAATTTATTGGTATGATGCTCAAAGAGTGTATTATGTATTGATGGGTTTGAAAATTATTATTAATTCTATTTAACCTGGTTCTCCTAATCATAATATCAAATACACCACTTGAATATTAAAGCCATATGATGTTACTCAGGTTTCCACGCACCCACAATGTCATGGCCTGTCGCTGGGACTCTGATGATTGAGCCAACTGAGTCTGAAGACAAAGAGGAACTGGACAGGTTCTGTGATGCCTTAATTTGTAAGTAATACTTAAAATCATTACAAATAATAAGCCTTATTGATTCATCTTCTAGAGCAACTGCACGGATGGCAATCATTGTAAGGAAGCAAAAAAATATGGAGGAGCCAAAACTTACGCAACAGCCGTTAATGTTCAAACACTTTTTATATTATTTAGATATCAAACAAGAAATAAATGACATAGAGGAAGGGAGGATGGACATCCGCACCAATCCTCTTACAATGGCCCCTCACACACAAGCGCAAGTGATCTCAAGTGACTGGAACAGACCATACACAAGGGAACAAGCTGCATTTCCAGCTGTAAGTATATCAGACCACGAAGAAACAATTCCTTTCCAAAATCACAATTATGACAGGTTTTTATTTTAGTTACTTAGCTCAGTCAGTATAGCAACCAGCTAAAGGCTGGATAACCAGGGTTCAATTCCTGGCAGAGACAAGATATTTATGTGAGAGACAACTTCATAATTTGGAATATTTTAGTGTGATTAAACACAAGATGAGGTGGACAGGATATACAGCATGCACTGGTAAGTCCGAAATTTATACAAAATTTTGAATGAAGAATCTCAAGGGAACGGATGTGGGAAAGCTATACACATATAGATGGAAAGACAATATTAACACAGATATGTGAGAAATAAGGTGTGAAGATGGAGAATGGAATTTGCTAACTCGGGGTAGATTCAAATGGTGGACTTCATGAGTATGGTTATGTATGTTTTTGTTTCATAAAAAAAGAGAATATTACAACCAGCTAAATAATTACAAACGTCTTCAGTAATATGACAAAAGTTTGTGGTTTTTAAAAAGTCAATATTGGGATGGAAGGTGGGGAGCCATCAGTTTACATATAAATCATTTTATAAAATGTGGTGTACATATTGGTTGGCTATCAGAATAATTCATTTAATTTCTGCTTACACATTGTCTTTTGGTATGTTATGTACAGAAGAGAATAATTATTTTTATTATATTCTACTGCACTGGGTATGGAAAAGAATTAATATGCAACTGACACTGTAAACACATATATGTAACAGAAAATTATTTTAGTGGAGAGTAGTTGTTTGTAGTATACATCCTGTGTCATAGGTACCAGCCTGGTGCCAGCACGCCACCACCATCACCATGATATTTTAGGTATTACTATTTCTTCTACAATTTTAATGAGAGTATTTTCTTTTTCTCTGCTCTAGCCATTTGTTCATGCTGAAACAAAAGTGTGGCCAAGTGTTGGAAGAATTGATGATATATATGGAGATAAACATCTCGTCTGCACTTGCCCACCAATTTTACCAGCCTACTGATCTGTATTTTGACATGTTTTGCATACAATTAAGAATTATAGAATGAAGTTCCTTCCTCTTTTATGTTGTTTTATTTCGTGTTTCATTGTGGAAATGTCAAAATATATTTACTTAATATATACTATCAGACATGCAGAAATGTATTCAGTAGAAAGCATGCTCAAAGAAATGCAGAAGAGGTAAATAATGTTTTGAGATTTGAGGTCTAGTTGGTGGTGTGTATTAAGATACGCAATCTGGAATGTAATGCTATGATATTTTGATATTTAAGATTATTTAACAGTGTTGTCTGAATATCACAGGTTATACAGCATCAAATACAGAGTGAAGTCAGTTGTTTAGTGTAAGAAGGGAAATAGAACAAAGTGGTCATAATCTGTTTAAAAGTTCTTACCTGAAAGTAGCCTGAAATGACTTAGGAAACCCCTGGGGGAAAAAAAATCATTCCCCAAACAAGTACCAAAATGTATACCTCTTGAATGCAGGTAAAAAATACTACTGTTGAGCTACCTTACTTGGAGTGATGGAGATGAACGGAAAGTTGAAGGCACTTTATATTCAATGGACATACACAACTAACAATGCCATCCAAATGTATTAAAATAGACTAATTTCAACCTTTCAATGCATATCATTACTGTATTCCATAATGGTGCAGGTGCCTGGTCAAGATAGCAGAAGAGTACATTTCTTCATTACTAGTACCATTACCACAATGTTAATACTTTCCCTGTAACACATGGGGGTTAAAAATACCGTTTCCAGATGACAGACATTACACAGACAAGAGAAGAGAATGATGATGAGGACTGTACTCTTGACCGAATGTTATTAGGGTGATCAAATCAACAAGGACATTATGAATGGCACATACAGCAACCACCATGGAGATGAGGAAGGCACATATAAAGCAGAATGAAGGGGACGTGGGAGACCTAGATAAGATGTAGGACTCACCAGTCATCTGAATCATTTTCTGACTTGGAGGAATGTTCAAAACTAGGAGCAATAGCTACAGCTTTCATATTCTATATAGAAGTTTCTGCTTTGTACTTCTGTCAATATAATTTTCCCACATTGTTGGAGTGACCTGAAATTTGAAAGAATAGATCTGTACCACTGTGTGGTACAAAATATTACAAAACGTTAGCAACAGAAGAAACTGTAAGTCACTGCAAGTCTTTGTTTCATAACCAACACAAAAAACATACAAACTGGTTACAGTAATTCCTCCACACCTTTACACAACTTCCATTCCAAGGCCATTTGGACTAATGCTGCTATTTTAATATCTCTTAGCCTGGGAACAAAAAAAGTTCAAGAGGGGCTGAAATGGCAATGACATGGTGGTGTGTATAAAAACGTTTCGATAATGCTCTTCAATAAATCCATAAATTTTAAATGTGAGACAGAATTTCTTACAACATATTGTCACATGTGACTAGACACAGGGTTTGGATGGATAACTGAATTTATTCAGCACACAGAACATGTAACTACAAATAACAAGAACAGTTTCCCTTATTTACACTCTTCAGTATGCATAAAGTCTTCTGCTTGTTCGCAAGTCGTTGCTACGAAGCAGCTGCTAACAGTGGAACTCAAGACTGACTGCTAACTACCGACTGACTCCCTTAAGAGTCAAAGTTATGTTACGACCAACAGTCAGTCGGCCAGTCTGTCTTGAAATGAAGCACCCATCTGGGGCTTGCCACCAAATTTTTATTACTGTCAGACAGTTGAGGGTTTGTTGATATGGGGCACTCTCTCTGACAATAGGGCAGGTCTGCCATTCACAATTGCTGCTGGCCCTCGCCAATGCAGTCATTCCCAGGTCCAAGTCCCATGGGACTCATGACCATATTTTACTATCTCAGATTCGAGACTCCCCCAATCTGAAGGGCCAGGTACCCTTATTTATATACCACAGGAACAGGGTGGCCCAGTTTATTCCCAGGCACTGGGTTCCCTTTTTGTCGTCTCCTGTGACTCACAGGGCTTCCAGTGGTGGTATTCAACGCTGCATCCACACGGGAACTGGCTCACTTTTCACGTTTGTTCAAGTTATATAGCCTTGGCGTGGACCACACAGAAAATATAGCTTCCATTTAATCGTATATTGTTCCTTGTTTAATCAAGAAGGCGGCAACGTGATTAACGCGCCGTTAACTAGCAACAGCCGCACAATTCCTTCCGCTATTCCAGCTTTCAACCGTCATGTCAGCATATCTTTCGGATTAACATTAGGTTCCATGAAAACATTAAAGAAATTACATACACCTCAGACATGTACTTACATGGCGTCTTAACTGTAGAGAAATTTCCTTCAGTGTGGCTCAAACGGCTCAAACTGTGGATTCACTCATTTTCAAAGGACTAGGATGCCGCGCCATTCACCAGAGGTTGCTTCGGTTGCTCTATACACAATGTAGGGTGGGTTAGAGCTATTCAGAACTATTCACTATTTGACATATCCACACTCTGCTCACGTCTTCACACATCAACAAAACTCGCATATGGACGTTTGTACCGTTTGTACCATGCGCGCTATCACTTCCCCGCTTTCACGACTTCACGACCGTTCAGGACGTTCTACCTGGTTCAACTCGTTCAGCTTGAGCGAGCTTGATCAGCTTGTTGGTCCCTATGTACCAACATCTGCATCCGAAAATTCCCAGTTTAACAAACAAGTATCGGTTAACGTATCGAATATTAGCCTACATAGTTCTTGCCGACGTTTTTCGGTTAAATTTGGTTACACCTTATGGAACAGGCCCCGCAGGCAATAGCCATCATGTCTCCCTCAAGCGCGGATTTTGAAACATTTGTCTGATTTTCACGAAACTCGGCATTAACGATGTACCACTCACAGCCATCATTTTCAATTTATTACAATTTGTAATAAAATCATGATGGACACGCAAACTCGCGATGTGCGAGACACAACCGACACAACTGTAGCAGACCACTGCACGCCTTACTTCTCACTCGGGCAACACTTGTTCGGATTGAACAATGTCGGGTTACATTAGGTTATGTTTCATTTGCGCTTACAACTGCGCACCTCCTGCTAACTGGGTCATCCCTTGCTGAGATTGAGCAATGTGAAATTATGTTAGATTGGATGTGCGGATCCACTTATTCCTACTGACATTTGCGATCGAGAGCATTATATTGCGTTTGTTTAGATTATACTGACGCATCACACCAACTCACATCCATCACAGCATAAAATTGGACCTTGTCATTCTGATGAGTTTACAAATTCATACCTTTGAAATTTCACCCAAGATATTTAAACATTTTCAAATGTGGGGGGAAAAAATTACAACTTTTTAAATCCCCAAAGTTTTCGTTTTTCCGAGATTTCAAAATGTGAGTGGATTCTGGAACCTTGACCTTTCAAAGTCATTTTTAACAATTTTCCCTAACTTTCAATAACTCCGTTATTCGAAATTGGCAAGTTTTGAAACTAAACATGTGAAATATATAAACATTCAACAACTCAACTTTCTATATTTTATATAAGATACTCGAGTTTGTTGACACATACCAAAAACTTAAATGATTTTTTATATTCTCAATATGGGCATTCAATGCACATTTAGGCAGCAAACATATTTGGAATCCCATCACACCACTTGCCTGCTTCTGCTAGTCAGCATCTCTACACTATGCAAGAACCATGAAAGAACATTCTTCTGTTAAGAACATTTGAAGGCTTTATTCGTAAGTCATTTTTGTATGAATGGAATAAGTAAATCATCTGTGTCTGCATGTGTGAGCAAATTTGCAAGTGTGCATGTGCGTACACCCAGCCCTTCAATAGGCTGTCAGATTGGTCTGAATTAGAAGTGCAAAACCACAGCAAATACTGAAAACAACGAAATTCAAGTCTGGAAGCAACACTGACAATGTGTCCTCCTCCATCAACTGCCCCTTAAGCAATGCATAAGATGACGGATCCACTTTAATCCACGCATGAATATGCAGATATAATCTACTTTCTCAGCACAGATCACATAAAACGAATGGAACTGTACAGAGAACATCAGCCTAGTATTTTCAAGCATGTATGTGCAAAACACAGAAATCTATGTTTGAGCAAATAAATGAACAAAAATAATTTATATAATGCAGATTTTTATGACATATGTTACATTTTAACATGATAATATAATGGTCGTGACATAGCTCAGGTGGTTAGTCACTGGCCTCCTACCGCGGCAGTCCGGGTTTGAGCCCTCATCAGGCCATGTGGGACTTGTGGTGGATGAAGTGGCCTGGGGCAGGTTTTCTCCGAGTACTTCGGTTTCCCCTGCCAATCTTCATTCCACCAACTGCTCCAAAATCACCATCATCTGTCACCTGGGGATGGTACAATAGGCCAGTAGTGGCTGCAGTTCCAAGTGGACTCAGGCTCACCCGACTAAGAATAACAATAAAAAAAAAGATAATTTCAATCAATTGGCTTATATATATATATTTTTTTTTTTTTTTCTGGATTACAAACAGCATAAAGTGTCACTGTCTTCAGAAACAGCCAAGTACATGGATTAAAGCAATGGTTCCCAACCTGTGGTCCGCGGGATAGTTTATTTTCATTTAACTTTATCTTATCGTGTTCCTCACACCTGGAATATTTGCAATGTATATCTCTGGCTCTTGAGGCCCAAGGTTGAAGTAAAATTTAACGGGACTGTTGGTACCGTAACAGTACCTTCCCTTTGCAAAGCAGAGGTGAATAACGAACGATTTGTGTAGCTTTTTCCAAGGACATTTTCTTTTGGTCGGCCCATTGCATCTCAGACCCGTCTTTCAGGGTAGACTGTTGTCCTTACCTGATGTCTGGCCATTCTTCCCCTCCTCCCCACCAAATCCATCCCTCTTTGGTTGGGAATAAAGCTGGGACCACTGACCACGTTTCTTATTCATTTCAGTGGCAGAGTGAACAACCTGTGTGTCTTTATTTTTTGTGCAGTGAATTTTTATAATATTATACAAGTGTGTTTTTCTCGGTTTAATATTCAGTTTTTCTGCTCTTGTTCAAATAACTGAGTTCACAACAAAACTTCTGATTTTCAGTTTGTTCACGCTCTTATTTAGATATGGATCAGTGTTTAAAGTGTGGATCGTTGATTAGGTGAGTGTTAAATTCATAATATTAGGCCTAACTGATATGTTTGTGATCTTTTGAATAAGCTCCATTTATAACAGTATTTTATTGTCATAAATGACACATTTAGTGTTGTAAAATCATAAGTTACTGCTTCACTTTCATGATATGTAAAATATAAAAAAATTTCCCTTTTGGATTTTATGGGGGCCGTGGTCAATTAACATTCAGTACAGGGGGTCCGCGGCATCAGAAGGGTTGGGAAACACTGGACTAAAGCATTCGAAATTATGTAATCTATAATTCTTATGAATAACTTTGAAAAAATTTCAAGTAACCAAAATGGGTAATACTTGATACTCATCTACTACTAACATATGAGTGGTTCTGTCTCAAAACTAGTGCCTTGAATGTAAGAAAGACAGGGAACTTTTAATCAGCAAAATGAAACCAATAACCAGAATCCAAAATCCATAACATATATTTTTTGTTATTTAACTGCACTAATATAATGTCTACTACATATCCATGATTCCACTGTTCTTTTATACAAATACACCTAGCATACAGATGACAAATATGACATTACAATGTCAGCGAAGTGGAAACTACCTAAACTCTATACAAATTAACAACTCTTACATCAACATTGCACCAGAATTATGTAATTCATTATCACTGTAGCTAATTATGATATGATACTGCATTGGTCACTACATAAACTGCTGTAACTCACTTATGATGTGTGTAAAAGTACAGAAGTTGGAAAGCTTTTACAATTGGCATTACACAAAATTAGGAAAGCTCTAAAAACTCCCAGTTCATCTATGAAATTTAACATTTAACACAAAAAAGGTATGCATATGAGGTGAAAAGTGTTGAGAGAATAGTATACACAACAAGGACCTTCATATGATGATGATGATGGAAATGTTCTTTTCTTCTCTATTAACTGAAAAAAGTAGCTGCATCAGTTTATACTGTGACACAGAGCAAAGGTTTAGCATAATATATTTTTTTGTATGGCAACTTTTATGACAACTAAAAGTGCACATGAATCAAGGATTAAAAAATAAACAGAATCTTCCAGACTGAAAAAAACAAGAAGATCATACATTTTCTATATATATCAATACCAAATGCAATTCCTATAATAAATATTGTGCAAGCACAAATATGGAATGTAATGGAATATTTCTGTTTTGTAACTGAGACTAGTACCAGAGTAATATAAACGTCTTTTAGGTTCCTGAAGAATATACTGTATGCACACAATACAGCTTCATAAGTTGAAAGAGGGAACAAAAAATATAACAGCTGATGGATAGAAATCTATCAATAACATTGAAAATTAGTTATACTGTGGATTTGTACTTGGTTTTTGATACGTCACAAATAGTATGATTAAGAAAAATATTTATGATAAAATAAGAATTGCAATGATTTTGTGTAATTTAATTTATAGTATAATTGTATTAAGTCTAATAATCACAAATGAAACGTAAATCTTATGAAGCATTTACTGCACTGCACTGTAAAGCTGTTCCAAACATATGTTGCAAATTTAGTAGGTTCAGCAGTATAAAATACACATACACATAAATCGATTCAAATTTTCTAGTACACAACTGATTACACCTAAACATAGTTCTTTCATAATGTACTGTTTTAAGAACCAAATATTATACACTCCAAATAAATAAAAGGATAGTAAGAGCACTGAAATAAGTACAGGTTAGAACTGATAAAAATGAAGTACAGAGGTAATGTGGGATGTGTTTCACTAGAGAAAAACAACTTTTTGCTAGCAACTTGAAATGAAACTCTGAAGTGTGCTGCAACATATCTGTAAAGTGGCTGCATTAGTGCAAATCTTAGATTTTGTTTATACATCAAAAAAGTAAAAAGGTCTAAAATGTTTATTATGTTTTTATTTATTAATTAAATGATCATTTAAGCTGGCATACAAATAAAACTGAAACAGCAGCCAGATTTAACTGTCTTGAATGTCAGATTGATACATTAACATCAAACTTAAGAACTCTTAATAATATTCACAACATATTTGAAGGTGCAAAGGTAAATTGGTTCCTGTACTTAACTAATTAAGCACTATGCCACGAAGACATATGGAGGAGTGGATATATAGATCCATGTATTCTTGACCTTGGCACTAGCTCAAGGCAAGTGGTCAGCTTCACACCCTAGTCACTTTATCCCAGGGGAAACAGCAGTGTGCAGCAAACAAAAGAATATTTGAATGAAAACTAAACTCCGTGGCCCATAGTTCGCAAGTGAACTATACCGACCAAGCAACTGCCGCTTGTCAGCAAAGTTAATGCCAACGTTTGCGGATAGAAGGTTTCATGTGGTCAGCGCAATGGATTCCCCACAGTCGTTAATCTCGGTTTTCTAGACTGAAAGAATATTTGAAAGCTTTCCAAAATTTATGGTGTACCACAATCCACAATTAGTAGGTGCAGCAGACAGGTAAGTCAACTCTTAAATATGATAGCACTTCATTATGCTG